TAATAAAGTGGCTGATGAGCTTAAGTGACTGGAAACATTCCCAAGATAGCAAGATGTCTGGAAGAGGAGTGGGTAAACTGAAGCAAGTTAGCTGAGCACTGGAATCCAGATTTAAACACAGTTTCTTTCTGTCTTTAAAAGCATGAACTTTAAGTATCTGAACAAACCATTTTCCCCAGTGTTCCATGTATTGTGTTCAGTAATTCAAACCTTCATGCAGAACATCAAGAGTTTGAACAAAAAAAAAGGTTCAGCTGTTCCTAAACATCACAAAATAAAGGAGCATTCTGCTCTTTTTCCCACTTTGTCAGCAAACCACAGACTCAGACCGATAATCTCCTTCAGCACCATCAACCGGATTGTCACTGCAAACTAAACCAGAGCGCCACTTCTCCCTCTGGAAGGAGTCCCAACAACTTTACTATTCTATAGGCTACATTCAGCAGGAGCCAACATGCTGCAACCACAGACAGGAAGTCTGATACACCAACAAAGCAGCAGTTAAAGCCTGAGCAGGATCTGTGGAAGGGTAACACAGTGCAACTTTAAAAACTGAATCAGGACCAGCAGATCTGCATCAGCCTGGAGTCATGTGGTATCCAGGAGCTTAAGGGGCCCCGAGGGCCCAAACAGAAAATATCAGCGGCCCTGCCCAGTTTCCCTAGAAATACTGACCACATTAATTTAAACTGGAACAAAGAGCAGGTCCAGCAACTTTCTGTGTGTTTGTGTAGGAGGAGGAGAGGGGGAGGAGAGGGGGAGGACGGGGAGGAGAGGGGGAGGGGGGGGGTTGTATTGTTTTTTGTTTATGTTCTCAGAGTGTCGCGTGATGCTCACTTCCCTTATGCAAGTCTGCAAAGGTGACTTCTAAACTCGCTCCAGCCATAACAGCAGCACAGAGTGTGAGAGTGTGTGTGTCTGTGTGTGTTGGAATGCCAGCTATTCAGTGGCTGCTGCGGCCGTGCCGTGCCGTGCCAGGACAGGCTGGAAACGGCCGACACGGACACACACAGAAGCACTCAGTGAGGAGGCAGACTTACAAACTGAACCCAGCACCACATTTATCACTCCTGCTGTTAAACCGGCTTCAGTCAGACCGCCGGCCAGACTCCCTGACGGGATTGTCCACTTTTAAACTCCCAGTCCAGAGTCTGAGCCGCTCTGTATTTACGGCTCTGTAAATAAAACCCGGGGAACATAACCTGGTGCTGGTCATAATATCAATGTTTCTGAGCGGAGTCAAAGAGCATCTCCTCCCGGTTCTAAAGCCATCGGCAGCTGCCTCCCTCAGATAAACAGCCTAACGGAAAACCGGCAACATCTAAAACTACTACATTCCTGAATGGAGTCTGGCGTGTGTCGGGCAGACACGCCTGACTCTCACGCCTTTTCCTTCCTACAGCAGCGGGACAACTCAGAGCCGTGACAAGGGGGGCGATGAGGTCCGGGTCCGACTCACCTGAGCTCGCCAGGCTGCTGTGCCGTCCTCCCGGCGTCCGAGTAGCCCGAGAAACTTCCAAAAGACCCCAGCAGACACCCGGATCCGCACAGTCCGCGCGGAGAGACGCACAACAGGTTTGACAGAGACCCCGCCCCGCTGCGCTCCAAGGTCCACAGCCGAAAACCCACCGCGAAGCCTGGCTTAGAAATCCAGAGGTTTTAATAATTAAAAGCTATCGATCCCATCTGTCCAGTCAACACTCAGTGTCAGTCAGAATATCGATCCTCTGAAAGTGAAATACTTCATGCGTGGGTTTAATATGAGAAAAAAAATGTTTATTTATATGAATAAAATAGGCGACTTTTACCTCTGATACTTAAGATGGCCCAATTAAATCCACGTTTAAATAACTCAACAAGTAAAGTCTTATTATTAATATTACAATGTGGGTTTTTAGCGGATGAGGATGTATCCAGATACTTTTGTTCTAATAGCAGTACTAACGAGCAAACGTGTAGTTAGTGTAGTACAGACGCATCCCTAACAGTAAATTCTCGCGTATGATGCTACATCTTGTACCCCTGTGACGTCTATTTGAAGAGTCGTGTGGTTTCCAGAGTCTCCGTAAACCACCAGTACAGTTTACTAAACCACAGTGGAGTACGTGTTTTATTAGCCAAACTCTTAATTTGAAAAGCCAACAGGGATTAAACTGGTGAAACTGGGCAGAGGTAGGAGCGCTTTTAAACCACGGGCTGGCAGGGGTTAAAGGTCCGGAACGCAGTTGAGTCTCACAGGCATGTTAGTGCGTATTTCTGTTGAATGAGTTCCTTTTAAATAAGCCCGGCATCGTTTCCAGCGACGGCATGCACATACTCGCTCAGTAATCACAAACTAAAGACATCCTACGAACAGGATACACCTTCAGCACCTTTTCTAGTCCTCGTCCCTGTGATGCGTTCAAGGTGCAGATGTAACTTCATTGCGCCCGTGGTAATCAGAAGGTAGCCAGCGCGAAAAATAACGTTTGTGCGTCAGACTCAGACATGGAGACATTTGTAAGAAAGATGAAGATGAAGATTATTTTCACAGGTAGGACTGCTCAGCAAATTCAATTTGATCATCTGGAAATGCAAATCTTAGTTTGTAATACTGTGAAAAAGTCTGCAGTAACACTGGACAGGCTGTGGTGTTAAGGTCAGTGTTAGCTGAGCTTCAGCTTCAGTGATCAATCGATATTTTGCTCACTTAAGAGGAAATAATTGATTATACTGTTTGTTGGTCACCTGATCAGAGGAAAAAACAACAACAAACAAAACGCATTAGTAAACTTTTTATTTATTTATTTTTAACAAACATCCAGACATCATCATCATGACATCACACAGCATCGTTATAATTGGATCTTCATCACCCTCCTCTTCTTCATTCTGATTGCACTGGAACATGTAGTTTACATTTCTCTAAATAAAGTTTCTTTATTCAAACTGCAGCAGCAGATTATTCTGTTGTTGATCAGTGAAGCTGCTGTTTATATTACTGATTGTGTATATAATATACTGTTTATTTGTACACGCAGGAAAGGATTAAATATCACAATTAAAAATATATATAAACGGACTCCACTGTCACGTGACTGCTTAGCAGTCATGTGACTCAGCTGATCCTTTTCTGTCAAATCTGCTGCTCCTCTCTTTGTTCTCAGTCAGCTGACGGCTGCTGTCAGATCAGTGTTTACGGTCCTTGTCTTACTGTCTTTGGAGAACCAGCACAAACTTCACAGGTTTAAAAGGCAGATGTTATCCAGTGCAGCCCCACCCACAGCCTCTGACATCAGTGGTTTCCCCAGTGGAACTCTTATTTTTCTGGAGCTATACTGGTACTGTTTGTTTTTCTGTTTTTTTGTGGGGGGGTTTAGGACCAGCACACAGTTGGTGGAAAAAAGGTCAATGGCATATGTTGATAAACTGATCCTCACCTTTCAAATTAAAAGTCTGTTTACAAAAGCAGCTTACTTGGCCCAGACTGTATGGCGAGTGGTTGCTTGTGTTATCTAAATGAAACTGGTTTAAAAAATGTATACAGTGCTGCACCAAAAACCTCTCAGATTTCTTTGGTCACTAGCAGACTGCGACAGACGGATGTAGTTTGCATGGAAGATGGCAACCTGTCTGCAAACACTCACCAACCACTCACTAACAGAGACCGCTCACCTTCAAAGTAAAAGTTGCACATTTTGAAACATTTGTTTCACCAATAAGGCACAACTTTTACTTTGAAGGCAAATTGGTCTCCGCCTCTGAGTTGCATTTCACCTCCCCTCAGTGTTTAGCGAGTGTTTGCAGACAAAACGGCATCTTCTATGCAAACTACCAGCAACTGCAGCACTCTGGCAGCGACCAAAGCAATCACTAAGTTTTTAATGCAGCACAAATACACAACTACCATACTTGCAAACTGGTCGAGGAAAGCATATTTTTCCTAACACAGACTACCAGGTGATCAAGACCATTTATCAAGTTGTATAAAAACCTGCTGTTTCTATACAAGAATACTTGAGCTATCAGCAGAAAAAACCTCCCCTCACCTCACCTGGACCACTTCAGGCTGACAGCCAACCTGTCATAGCCTCACAATGCAAAGCGCTCTAATGTGACTGCTGTGGCGATTTCTTATTATAAATAAATGGTAAATGGTCTGTATTTGTATAGCGCTTTACTAGTCCCTAAGGACCCCAAAGCGCTTTACACATCCAGTCATCCACACACTGGTGATGGCAGCTACATTGTAGCCACAGCCACCCTGGGGCGCACTGACAGAGGCGAGGCTGCACTGGTGCCACCGGGCCCTCTGACCACCACCAGTAGGCAACGGGTGAAGTGTCTTGCCCAAGGACACAATGATCGAGACTGTCGGAGCCGGGGCTCGAACCGGCAACCTTCCGATTACAAGGCGAACTCCCAACTCTCGAGCCACGATCGCCCCTAAAGATGAATTGAATAAAAACTCTAGGTGCTTATTTATTCCAGCCAACTAATGTATGTAAACAAGGTTACGTGACAGTAGAAACGAGCCATTTAAAATAAGCGAGATAACCAATCAGGACAGGAAGTGCTTCGTAAAAAACAGGCCAACTGATCATGGGCGTCTTTGAGAAACAGCAGCTCTGACAGCAAACCGGCAGTGCTCACGAGATAAAATTTAAAAACAAACAAACTCACAGTTAAAACTCACTTCAGTCACACGATTTACCTGCTTAGCATGTGTGTGTGTGTGCGCGCATGTTTGTCCATCTTTGTGTGGCCCATCCATCAGGCACACTGCAATATGAGGACATTTCTGCATAGCAAAAGGTTTTCATGCACAGTGATGGAATTTCTGTAATAAGAGGACAGTTCTGAATTGCAAGGACATTTTGGAACACTTTGAACTATACTGGGATTTCTACACCATGAGGGCACTTGTGCTTTCTCAGAGCATTTACATCTCTGTATTATGAGGACATTTCTGAACTCTGGTGAGACGTCGACATTTTGAGGTAATATTAGGCTACTTTTTAATTCTGAGGATTTTTTTTTTTTACTTTGAGGACACTTCTGAATTGTAAGGACATATCTTCACAGTGAGGACATTTGTGAATTATGAGGACATTTCTGCATTTTGAGGACACTTTGGGGATAATTCTGCTTTACAAAGGCATTTGTACATTTTAAGGGTATTTATAACATGTGCGGTCACTTCCGCTCTCTGGGGACTTTGTGTCCAGTGCACATTACAGGAGTTACATCAAGTCAACGCGGGGCCCTACAAGTAAGGAATACAAACGTGTGTGTGTGCGTTTCTCTCAGTGCTAACCAGTAAATAAAATCATCAGTGTGTAATCTCAGGAGGCTAGCTTCTCTTCTTTCTCCCCTTCGGCCTCCCCCAACAGGACACACAGCTCTGAAAGTCTCTGCTGCATCTTAGGAATTCCCAGCAGCTGGTTCTCCAAACGATGCTTCTCCTCCTGAGACACAGCACATCACAGAAACCACAAACACAGACACATAGAAATACAATGAATATATTATGTTTACTTTTCTCTGAATATTGCTGTTACAGGTGTTGCATTTGTTTGTTTTCGCTAAGCTTCCTGTCACTCTTAAATCCGCCGGTGTCTGTACTTGTACCTGAAAGCTCTGTTTCCTGATTCAGCAGCTTTATCCACCATTACTACAAACAGCATCTAGAATTATAATAACTTTGGTTATTGCGTGTTTGCTTCCTTAATGTGGCCGCCTGTTCCTGGTTGATACCCCAGCTAAACAATAGTCATTAATGTTTACTCTACAGGCAAAGAAACAACTGACTGCAAGTCAATGGAAGACGAAAATATGACGCTACAAACTGAAGCCTGACACTCGACGCTGCGTGATGCATCACAACTTCCTGTTAACATACCACAACTTTTTAGCGCTGTTATGATGCGATGGAGCCTTGTGAAGAAGCTCAAGACTGTCATAGTTACTCACGAAATACTAAATTTATCAAAACAAAGAAACACGAGGAAGCATTACTACAAATGTGTACTGCCACTCGCATGTCTATGTGGCTGGGAGCCAGCTGATGTGAGATTTATAGTTCTGCGTTTAATCTAGACTACACATGTAGCTCACGCTGTTGTTTATACTTGTTTCTCGTGTGCCTGTGCCTCTCTACACTTTCACAGCCAAAACACGAGCTCATGGTTGGATTTCTCTCCTCGAGCTGATCCATTCTCTTCCAGAACAGGAGGGAAAAATGCAGAAATAAAATTGTAAATAATGGCACGTACATTACATTGACATCTGTGAACGTAGCATAATGCACAGAGTGAAACGGTAAGTGGTCCAATCTTTACCTCCACTTTGCTCACAGTAAACTTGTCTGACACAAGAGTTCATTAACAATGTTTGCATCCTCGGGCCTTTATCAATACACCCGGCTGGGACCTCACCAGGCTGCTTAGGGTCAGCTCAGGCATGATCGATACCTTCTTAAGGACTCTAATCACACAGCTCTGCTACTGCTGCTGAGTATCTCGGGCGTGAACACTAACACAGCGTTTTTTAGTGAGTGCAGTGAAAGTAATAGTGTTACAGAAATTACCACAATCACACCAGAGGAGACTGTATCAGATCCTTCACCTGGTATCAATAATACAACTATCCAGCAGGTATTTTCCCGTAAATACCAGGATGTAACGATAGGCCATCTGTTATCCTGGAACGCCTTCGTCCGTGGGGACGAGTACACAGATTGCTTTTTTGTTATTTCTGCAGTTCAATCAGTGTAATGTGTATACGCCGAGCCTTTATTTCCTTTCGTATTTGGCAGCAAACACGACGCGCGATGCTAAATCATTGCATGGATCCTCGTGTGATATGACCGCTGATGTGCTGGTGCTTAATATCAATATTTTTGCATATTTTAGCCGCTCTAAGCGGTAATGACTTGAGTACCTGAAGTCAGTACTTCACCCGAGCTCCTCACATAAGTGAGGGTAAAATAAACAAAGTCACCAACGTGCACTGAAGAACAAGAGACCCGTTTGTGCACCAGTCAATCCTATAATTAGATACTGTGTTTAATCGCAGATTAAGTGTGCGATGATGTGCTTGAATCCTGCTGCTGTGTTTGTGTGTTAAATATATGTATCTTTGTCTGATTGTCCTTATTATAGTTTTCTCTGTGAAGCTGCAGGCTGAGCATCGTCATCACTGCTGAGGTGTTGGGATCGACCCCTGAGGAGATGAAGTCTGCTCGACTTCCCGCAGAGTAGATCTGTGTGTTCTTCCCACAGCAGCTTCTGCTCAAACCTGTTTTCACTGTTTCAGGTGAAGCTGAGCAGGTTAATAAGCACTTCATGCTCTGGATTAATAAACTCTACCTTCAAATCTGGAGGCTAATGATAAACTGCAGCAGCCCTGCAGCCACTAATGATCCGTCACATGACAGCGAGGAGCCAGCTGACTGGCTGCTCTCACTCTCCTCGCCGCTTCCGCGCTTTGACCTCACTCGCTCACACATCATGTGCCGCAGGCGTGTTGTTGTGGTGCTGATGGTTACCACAGTAACCGCTGCATGCGCAAAGGCAGCAGTCAGAGGGGTCGCGGTAATTTTAGCGTGTTTACGAGTCAGGAGGGTTCAGTGATCAGCTCCGCTCTCTCTCCTCGGCGCAGCGGGATGATCACAGCAGGATGTGAACATCGCTTTCACGGAGTTACAGATGCTGAACGCCCCGTAAGTGACGCCGGGGGGTCGTCCTGCGGGTACGAAACAGAAACGCACTGACAGAACTGATCCAGCAGCTGCTAAAGGCTCACAGTCAGGACGCTGAGCTTGTTTAACTCCTGCAAAGAGTTTAGGTTTCTGTTCGCGCGGTATTGAGCTGTGTGTGGGTGTTCCAGTGACAGCCCTAAGTATCGCACCAAAGCCCCTCCCCTGTGCGAAATAATTATATTCTAAAAATCTGAACCGTATAAATTTCTATAACGCTATCATCAGGCCTAGTTTTTCTTTTTATTGTGAAAGCCATCAACTCAACCTTTCACCTAACAAATCCCATCATGTGACCACGAAACTGAGAGAAGGGGAAGCATTTCAATGAAACTCTGCCGAGGAGTTTGCAAAGCCACCGTGCACTCTGACCCCCGATAACAAGACGCAATCTTTCAGAAACAAGTCATCCACATGATGTTGGACACGTGGCAGGTTTTAGAGATATTTCTGCCAAACTTGGAGATGCTTTTGGTACATTTCTGTCTTTAAAAGCAGTAAAAAACTTCCCAAAATGAACTGAGGTCATCAACAAAATATGCAGAAACGTCTGAACTGTGTAAAAGCTTAAAGTCTGCAAATGATAATGACCTCTGTTAACCCTGCATAACGAAGGGAGAACCGTTTAGATCCCACGTATAAGAGGAAACTGTCTAACAACGGGGCATCACTGATCATGATCCTTCATGTTTCTCCACTTTCTGTCACATTAGGAGAAGCTGTTAGAGTCCAATGAGCCCATAAAGCTGCAATAAGTGATCTCAATGTAAAAATAAGTCAAAGATACCTCTGAGATTCAGTTTAATTAAAGGAATTCATGACCCATTGAGCAGAGCAGCCTTGCTGTTCTGTATGTATTAAGCAGTGAGCTGTTATTAGAATTCAGCTTGCAAATGGCTAATAAAATAAAACGTCCAGTTATGAGTAAAGATGAAGTGACCGTGTAGCCTCTGTGTTTTGAGCTCTGTGGTTGCAGATAAATGTGGGTTTCCAAACCTGAACCTGTGCGGTCCTCTGGCCTCTGCAAACACAACAGACTCCGATTTACATACAGAGCGGGGAGCTGGGATTACAGGGGTCACTCGAGATGACTTTTATATGTATGAACAGCTATTTATAAAGTTCCTTTGACATAATCTTGACTCTATGCAAAGTGATTTTCCTGCTGGTGAAGTTTGGGATACTACGCCTCCTATAGAGCTTCTCAAAGGACACGTGGAATATGACCAAATAATTTTAATGTTAAATTTTTTGCTGAATGTTTTACATTGTACGCCTCGGGCTCGGACTCAAAGGTCTCCTTCATCACGGAGGGAGATGCAGCACCGGCCGAATGATGAAGAATATTAAGACCGACTCGCTGTTTAATCCCGGTAAGCAGAAGGCAGTGGGCGACTCCGTGGTGCGTTTGATCACCTTTGTTGTACCTGTGTATGTTTTAGCCTTTGATCTCGTCACCCACTGTTATCTTCCAGACTCTTCGTGTTATACGTTTTGTCTCTGCTGAACACTGATTGTCGTCCCCTCCCATCCTGTTGCGTATAAAAGCTTTTTCGGTGGTTCGGGGTCAGCGTACCTTCCCGTGCCCACTCTCACAGCAACACCAACAAGCCCAAAGTTTGAACACACACGTTAAATATCAAAACTGTGTGTGTGGCAACAATCGACAAACGCTAAATTCTGCTTTTTAGCTAACAGAAGATGAGAGCTGCTGTTCATACTCTGAGACGTTTGAGTTTTAACACTTTAGTTTGGATCCAAATGAACACAAATAACCAACAGCTCAGTGGAGTTTAATGGCTTCATTGTTGGCTGAAACCAACTGTTTTTTTAATGTGCACTATCATATCAAATCATATGTGTGCATTTCATATTGATCACTCTTTTAATAAAAGCACTCTTGGCATGTCGCCGTGTCGTCATCCAGCCTAAATGTGCAGCAATGTTATTTCTGTAGCTCTAGAGTCCAAGCGTGGTAATCCAGCATAAATTAAAGATCTGACAAGTTATTTTCCACATGCAGGTGCGCTGAAGTAAAAGCATAATGCGGCGTCGCATTAGAAAGAAGTAATCACAGCTTTTCTGGCATTTTTGCAAGAGACTGATGACAGCACTTTGAGATGCTTTTCTCTTTTGTTCCACAGCCATTCCTGACTAAATCCTGATCTGCGCTGTATTGCTGAAGGAAAATCAGAGACAGCTGCATTCACTTTAAGCTGTTTTAATGCTTATGGATCAATAATAAGCACATTTAAGCCGAGTTTTTGTGTCTTACAGCTAAGTTTAAGTATAAATCTTACAAACAGACCTGAACAAGACCCACCTGGGGGCTGGACCCTCCAAACAAACTGCGCACATCCTTTTTGTTTCTAACATGACACGGTCTCACAGCAGCACACGCTCAAATAAAACACCTGCTGCCGGGGACCAATCATAGAGCTCGAATTAAACACACACAGACCTGCAGAGAGAGGCGCGTGGAGGCATCCAGAGGTTCAAACCTCCACCCTCCTTCTCCATCGAACTGCAGCAGGTGAGAGTGGTACTTCCTGTGAGACAGAGGAGGAGAAGATTAGTTGGAGGGTGTGGCAGCCGGCAGCAGCTCAGAGCTACGCTGCCCCCTGCAGGCTGAAAATAAAATTAAATAAAACCTGAGTTCACTCCTGATCTTTGAGTCACATGAGTCACGTAGTTTTATCTGCAGTTTTGGCATCTCGAGTTTCACTAATCTGTGGATTTCAGTTTTGCTGCACGCTGTGTAAAACTTTATTCATGACATTTAAAGACTTTGTAAAGACATAAAGACAAAAAAATATTAAATGAAAGCATTTACATGTTCCAAGTCAGGAAACATCACCTTGAAAAGTGTTATTGTTGTTTAGAAATTGTGCAAATTTAACCCACAAAAGTTAACCTGATGACACAGAAGCAGCAGAGATGACAGACTCAGCTGGCATCTGATCTTTTAGAATACCGCGCTTTCATTTTGCCACCATGCTTGTTTCTTTTGCGTCTTGAATGCAAGACATGAGAAATAATCCACAAAATTCAAATAAACGTGTAATAGGTGACGTCTCAGTTATAACACACTCTCACAGAGCAGTCACAGATATGATCATTTTCAGACTGCAATAAAAAACATCCAGCCACATTTTAAGAGTCGCCCTCTTTTTCATGAGCACTCACAGTGTAACTGTTGTCTTTGGACTCACATGATGCTGGACGCTTCCCACATGACCAATGACACCTTTTTACTTTTAGTACTAGCAGCAGTACCCCTCACCCTCCTAGCAGATTACAATTTCAAAACCGTTCCTCCTTCAAGATTTTCGGAAAACTTGACCTCTGACCTTGAGGTCAAGGTCACTGAGATTCAGTGTGTGTGTTTGTGTGTGTGTGTACTGACCAAAGGGAAGGCCTGTGAGTAATTGACAGCAGTGCGATCCCAGCATCCTTTGCAGCCTGGAAGATTCCTCCCTCCACGTCGATGCTCACGGCGCTCGTACACTCGTCCAGCAGAGCGTACCTTGGGCTGTTCGAGAGACATTCACAAACACACAAAGAGAGGAAAAGAGCGAGAGAAGACAGGGTGACTATGGTGGGCGCACACAGAGTCACTGTCACACTGAGCATCTGTAACATTTGCATGCTTCTAAAACGGCTTTCTCAAAAGGCAGCTTCTATTATTTCTACGTTCTGAGTTTTTCTAGCCACCAAAATAAGTCGGCATGAAAATAAGATGAATTCTCTACAAACGTAAACACACATTTACCTGTACGCTAAAGTACAGTCCCATTTAAACTTCAGTTTATGTCTCAGCAACACAACACGCAGACGTTTCATGTGTCACGCTGTCTCATCTTGGATAGACAGACACTTGCTCTTCTGTGATACAGAAACTTGACCTTTCACTGCAGAATTTGTACGGATTTGGGGCTAAACTGTCCTTTAATATTTGTTATTCTTCCCCGGGAAAAAATAAACACAAGAAGTCGTCAGCTGTCTGAACTGGTGCGAAATCTGTTCACGGCTCATAAACAGGCCACTTACAGTATGTTAGTCATCATAAAGGTGGCAGCAGATGAAACCATTATTTTAATAATCTGACAGAATAAACAGAAGCAGGCCTGACGCCTGCGCTGACTGCATCTGAACCAGCTGCAGGGACGTTTCACTCTGATGGAAAACATGTTGGTTTAACAGTGCTGAGGTGTGTAAAATAAACACGGCAGCGGTCACAGTCCTAAACAGGTCATGGGGGTGCCGATTTAACTCACCGAGTTGACCTGATAATGAATAGGCCATAATGCTAATACTGAGGCCAATAGTGAGAGCTACGCTGAAGCTCAACACGAGCACACCCAGCGTTTAGAGTCTGCTCGAAGGGAGCGTGTCCAAGGAAATGTGGGCGTTACTGGGGTGGTTATTTTAAAGCAGCTATCTAACTGAATAGGGAGAGAGCCGTTAACTTTAATGTCAATGGTCACCAGGACCCCGTTGAAACACACAGAATCATCATGAGTCAAATCTGATTTCATATGCAAAGTTAACACATTACAGTTTCTAACGGGGCTCAGTTCAAAGCACCAACACGAGCAACGTCTCAGATCCTCCCACCCTGAGCCAAGAAACACAACAGTTTACATTATGGACAAAGCGAGCCTACACTCACCTACATACCACCTATAATACAGCTACTACACAGCAGCAAACCTCTACTGCAACACCACCTCAGTTAGCATGTTTCTCGGTTCAGCTGTTGGCTGGCTCTGTGGAGGCAGAGGGCAGGTTTACCACCACCTTTACCATTAAAAACGCTTCCTTCAGATTTCTGTTCAGAACTCTTTGAGCACCTCATCGCTCTTTCATGACGTCTCTGTCCAAAGTCCAGCCCGAGCACAGCCAGATGCTGTGAGCATCCTTCACTCATTGAAGAGTGAGACCTTACCGGTGGTAGAACATCCGAGCCATCCCCATCCGCTGCTTCTCTCCTCCAGACAGAACATCTTTCCAGTCATTGACCGACTCCCAACCTGAGAAGCACATACACAGGTGTCGCCACAGCAGCACTGCATTACAACAGCTACAGATGATCCCAGTTAAACGACATTTACAATTGCGTGTGTCCATGCACCTGCAGACTGACGCTTTATAAATCCGAGCCCAAAGGGAAATGTGTAAGAATTCCCCCCCACACAGTCTTCTGGTAGCGCTGATGTACACATGATGTGGCTCAAGTGTACGTGTAACACTACTAATTCAGTATTTACATGTTTACTGATTGATTCCCACTCTCTAAGACATCATTTTATACGTTTTTCTACACTTTTTTTTGCAACTAATGATAGATATGTTCATTCATTAACTTGATTCAGGTGAAGTGAAAAGCTCTCTCTGTATTTTCATGTTTAATACTGCTGACAGGTGAGCCGGTCTTTCCTGAATCCTGCGCCCTGACACATCCTGGCATCATCCTGCAGCTGCTGCGAGCTCTCAAACTGACTGCAAGTGTCAGTCAAACAGTCGAGCACCCTTCACGGCAGGCTGGGGACGGGGCACTGATTAAATATTTAGCAGAATTTGATTTGAGCATTCGAACCGGTTTGAATGTTTGTGATGGAGCGGTTCTCAAAATTAAGTGTCATATGAAGTGAAATGAGGTCGAGGCACCATTAGATGTGAAATGACTCCTCATAATTAATTCTTGGTTCAATCACCGCCGCACAATCTGCCTCACGAGTTTCCCGTCTTCTATGTTTGTTTGTGTAGTTGAGTCTGAGTTGCTGTGGAGGTTTTTCTGCCTGTTTACTCCAAACAAAGCGCAGAGCACAGCTAAACACGCACTCGGACTGACCTCCCTCTCGGTCCATGATGTAGCGCAGGTGGACGGTGCGAAGGATCTCCTCCAGGTCTGAATCTGTGAGTCCTCTCTGAACCATCTCCTCCACTGAGTCCGGATAGATCACCTGGTCTCTGAGGGTCCCCTCTGACATGTAAGGCCTGCAAACCACACAGAATAGGAAACCACAACTGCTGTGGATCTAGGGCCTTAACTTTGTAAAACACCGACAAATGGTTGTTGGTGGTAATTGGAACCATATAAATATAAAGTGCTGAACTGAACTTGTTACTAGTAGTAGTAGTAGTGTTACCTCTGTGGGATATAGAACATGTGCTCTGGCTCCGGTCTGTACAGGACTCCTCCATAAACAGGCCACAGCCCACTGAGGATCCTGAACAGGGAACTCTTCCCACAGCCGTTTGGACCGGTGATCAGCACGTTCATCCCATCGTCCACCTGAGACACACAGAGAGACAAATCCACAGGATTGGACTCGTTTCTGGAAAGGTGTCTCCAAGTCTTTACAGAACATATGTGCACAGACGCCTGTACTGCAAAGCATGATTTAGGAGTTAAAGATGTGAGATTACACCCGGGTTTTAAATATGACAAAGGGGTTTACTGAGGCAAGCCAGGCCTGCAAAGCCATGAAAACATGGTTTGGACTTGACCTGCTCTGAGAAAACAGCTCAACAGATGCAGAGCGCATCTAAAGGCTGTTGAGCATGAATGGAAAATACAAGTTCTCATTGTTTTCTGTAGCTGTGTACTCCAGATACTAATTAAAGCACTAAAACCTCACACTTGTTGGCACTAAACTTGCAAATAATCCTTCTCACTGGCTTGTATTCAGTTATTATTTGTTCTTTACTTGTTCTCCACACTGTTTAACACCACCAGGCTGCAGCTGAAAGAACGAGGCTACGGCTAATAAGCCTGTTAGCAACAGCAACAGATTCAGGCTGTGGTGGTAAATACAGTCGGATCGACCTTGTCTTAAAGATGAGGCGGTGTTTTAAAAGTCAGAATTTTTTCTTTGTTTGTACTGATTAACTACCCAACTAATTACTTCCTACAGCACAACTACTCAACAGCACAGACTCCTTATTTATGTAGTGTTGAGCTACGGCTGAAAGTACCACAGACACCTGCAAAGAAACCTGTTTTTTTTCACCGACTGTGTTTTATCGTAGCGCCCAACCCCCACGTATTAAAATAAAAAGTATTACAAAATGTATCCCGTGTGATCTCGATCTGTTCCCCACATGAAGGCTGATAACGTGTCCTCGTGTGTATAATTAAGAGAGAAGCTGTAGCTTCTCTTCTCACTTGGTGAAACGCGGGCAGCAGACAACAAAGAGTCGGCACTGTGAAGATAATCCTTTGTTGACAACAATTATGGCCATTACTGTAACTGCAATCAAAGCCTTTGTGGGTACAAACACCAGGTGTACAAACCACCTGTACAACAAGCTTTTGCCTAATATGAGAAGCATGCGAGCTTGGTTTGCTATTATCTTCAAATTTGGCAGATTCTCGTAAGCTTGTACGAGAACCACCCCCCCACCCCACCTTCCTTCTGCAAACCTGCAGAAGCAAGGGTGTGCAGTAGCCTCCTGACACTTCAAAACATGTAATTATGTTTATTCCAGCATTGCACTGAAGCACAATTCTGATATCTTTGCAATTCGATGTCGTGCTTTTGTTCTGCTTCTGCTCCACAGCGTAAATGTTTAAGCTTTGGTTAAGTATTATTGTGGTAGTTTAGATTGTTAATATAAAATACAAATCTACAAACATGTAAAGTTTATTTCAGTTCAGTAAAAATACCCAAGGACCCACCTGGGGCAAATACATACTGCATTATTAACCATAGGTCCGGATCTTTTACCAGCTTTAATTCTTGGCTCTGGCTACAGCAGCTGTCTTTCTTTTAGCCTAGATTATATTTTTAAATCCCTCACATTTGTTTAGTTCGCTGCTGTTTCATGCTACGTCTGTCCTTAGCTTAGTGTGGTTGTGTTTGTTGGGTTTAACTAAGCCAAAAAAAGCTCAAATCTATCCTAAGCTTGCTGATGCTGAATTCGTTCCCTGAGCAGGCCCCCGTGGTGCCTGTAAACATGTGACTGAATCTCAGAGGTCCCTCCTCACAACAACACACTGAAAGAAGAGACCAATCAAAGCACAGGCTGTGAGAGCAGAGAGGTCAAAGGTTAAGAACCAGACAACAGAGAGGAGTTTCTGTGTCCATCAATGTTCCTCTTCTTCCCCTCTATGTTTCCATCTCTGCTGCTTCTTCTTCTCTCATCCTCTCGTACTGAACACAGGAACCTCATTCTATGCTGCGAGCACGCACAAACACACAAAGTAACACACTCTCTCACTGTTTCGGCACATGCTAATGAGCGATGACCTCTGACCCCAGGCGCATATGGAAAGAATGAGCCCAATCCCAATGTCCACAGACTCACAGTCTTTGAGGCTTGCTCCCGCAAAGGCAGCGAGGGTTCGGTGTCTGACGCCCAGTGTCAAACAGGCTGCAGGAGGGATGTTTGGTAGAAATTTTGAGCCCTTTATTCATTCTTTTCTGTAATTGCTGCAGACTTTGCCTGAGGGAAATTACCCACAGTTCACAGCGCTGTGGCGTTAAACACGGAGGCTGCAGGGGATGCTTCAGAGGAAAAACACTTAATCAAGAAAGCATCGGCGGATCAGCCAGACTGAAAGTTACGAGTACAAATATGTTTACACAGAATTAGATGAATGCCGTGTTTGTTGCTTATTCTTTTTCATTTTTGCTCAATTACGTTTTGACTATACTGAGAAAACTGATTATATAACTGTTTCTTCTCGTCCCATCTGTAAGAGAAGAGCTAGGAAGAAGCATATTCAGTGCGGCTCGTCACTCCCATACCTGTCAGACGTCCATCATTACACCCCTTCTCTGCCCTGTGCTCAGCTTCTCCTGACTGCTCCTCACTTCAGACTTAACACCAAGGGTGCCGGAGGACTTTAGCTGTGCTGCACCTCATCTTTCAAACCTATCAACACTTCACCTTCGTTAGACAGACTCTCGGACAAATCACAGCTCAGAATCGATCTGTTTTCATCAGCATATCAACTACAGCCATCTAGTTTCATATCATTCACAATCATATTATTCCAGGATTTCAAATCCTTTTTATTACTGTTCTTGTTAGTTTTGTGTTGTAAGGTGACATTGTTTTTAAGGGCTTTGAAATGTGCCAAGAAATTATTATCATTAGTAGTAGTATTACTATTATCATTATTATCATTATTATTATTATTATTATTATGTGCAGAAAGTAAAAATACATTTGTGTGTCTGTAAAGCGAGCATGTACAGTTGACTTCCTTTAAATCTGTGATGGTTTTGTGCTTAATCCAAATAAGGACTGGACTGCAGCAGTGCCACCATGTGGCCACAAATGTTAGCTGCACACTGAGGCGACACTGACCACACTGAGGATTCATGGTTCGGATCGTAACAGACATTAAATTAAAAATAAATAAAAGGAAAAGCCCACAGCAACGTCCTCTGCTACAAAGAAAGTTCAACATACCCAGGATATCTTTGCATTATTTGGACTCACTCATGCTAACGCTGGCAGTCTGGAGCTACTGTATTAATACATTTTAGCCTTGGCTTCGTCTACCTGCAGTCGACATGAAGGCCTCAAGTACAAATAAGTGTCTTAATTTGTTTGGTTATGCTTACAGAACAACAACATTATTGTAAAATTGTTTGCACACAAAAGGTTGAAAAACAAAACAAGATAAAACAGGTTCGCAGGATAGGTTACCATGGCGATGTACCCCACTAAGAAGTGAACCACCTTCATAGTAACAAAATGTCAAGGATAACCCTGAAGTCACCTGGATAAGCTCAAAGCTGGTTCAAAGTACAGGCCTTTGGTGTGTGTGTGTGTGTGTGTGTGTGTGTGTGTGTGTGTGTGTGTGTGTGTGTTACCTGGATATTCAGACAGGACACTACTACATCTCCGGTAGGCGTGATGATTGGCAGGTTCTCACAGCGAATCCCCTTTTCCACACTGATCACCTGACCTGTACACAACACAACAGACAAAACAGCTGTCTCAACTTCCTGTTTGGAGTTTGTGTGTGGGCGGGGTTTTGCCCTTTAGTGACTGAAGCGACAAATGACACCGGGCCAAAGATAACCCAGCTGAGAGTTTGGGAGTAAAGTGCTGCAGAGGTGTTACATGATACAAGACTCACCTCTGATCTGTAGCGGACCACAGACTCTCTGCCCGTGTTGAACTGCTCCTCCTCCTCCATCAGCTGTTAACTCCTCCTTCTCTCTGTCTGCGGAGCGGCGGTAGATCCCCTGATTCACATCTTCAAACACATCCAACATCTCAGAGACTCGAGCAGTGTAACCTGCCAGCTCCGTCACCTGCACAGCAGTCAGTCGTCAGTGTGCATCATTTAAACATCAACATGGCATGAAGGAGAAAGGGAGGAAACACAAGGTGAAGACTGGAGGAAGACGAGCAGAAGAAAGGAAGTGATAGTCTCCCTCCAGCAGCTGCCTTCTTCAAATACTCCTCTGTTAACCATCAGCTCAGCCAGAGAATCAGAGGAGGTGAAAAAGAGGAGGAAGCATGGCGTGCATACCTCCTTGTAGGAGCTCATGATTCTCTCCACGGCGTCGGCTGCAGCGTTCAGGAGGTTCCTGGCTGTGGTGAAGGCCTGCGTCCGTTCACTCACAAGCTCCTCCTCCTTCATCACCATGGCAGCCTGCTTCACCTCCTCCGAGTCTGAGCACATCACAGGTCAAAGGTGAAGCAGCTGAACGCCATACTCGCACCAGACTCGCTGTGATACTGTACACCGATAACAGGAGTGCGTTTACCGTGTTCAGCGTATCCGGTGGCGGTGATGATGGGCACGGCGACCATCACCAGGCCGGAGGCGCTCCACACGTACTTCATGAGGAACTGTTCCAGCATGATGTACCAGAGGCGCTTCAGCAGGATCTGATGGATCTGAGAGGACAGAGACGTGTAGCTCCTCCGCAGCTGGGCCAGCTCCACCTACAAATCAAACACACCCAAACTCGCATGACCATCACAGACATGGCGATCTCCATCCACAAAGTTTAACAGTAACCTACCTGTCATTCAAACTGATCACTTCTTAAAACATCGGTGTTTTTCTTACCTTGTGTCCTCCATAGAAGGCAATCTCCTCTGAGTTGGTGATGATTCGTGAGTGCATGTAACGCAAGTCTCCTTTCCTCTTCGCCTCCTCGGCCACAAGCTTCCCGAATCGAGGCGAACAGGAGCGCAGGACTTTAGCCGTGAGTGCTACGACCAGGCCGGCGATGACCGACGGCCACGTTGTGTTTGCTCCTGCAGAAACATGTAGCGCAGACACGCTGTTAGAACAACCTCAGCCTCAGTCAAAAATAAGCATTAATTACAAGCAACACACCAATGTGTTCACATCATGCGTGAAATCATTTGGCGCTAACATAAGCAACCTTTGGAGTGGGCGGTGCGTATCAGCGTGTAGCAGGTGACGATCACGTCCAGGATGGGTTTGGTCAGGTTGGAGTAGAGGTGAGCGATAGAGGCCGAAAACATGACGATGTCCTCAGTGAGGGACTGATCGGGATTGGACAGACGCCCGTCCATGTTGCTGACTCTGTAGTAAGTCTGCAGAGATCAACAAGTTCACCAATCAGAGTATAAATAGGCCAAAAATAAGCATCAGGCTAATGATCAGAACATACAAACTTAAGAACACTCAGTGGATGAGATAACAAAAGATAACAAAAAGGCCACAAAGATCATCCTCAAGTGGGACACATGCAACTATAATAATGGGTCAAAGATTAGCTTGTAACTGATTGATAACGGATAATGCAGAAGACAAATGACATTCACTGTCAGAAAACGTTCTGGAGATTTGCTGCAGTACCTAGTTGAGCCACCAACTGCTCAGTGAGGCAGCGCTGCAGCTGTCCCTGCTAACCTTCCTTAAGGGTAACATAAATAGAGCTTCTCCCTGCTGTCCAAGTAAGGAAATCGTGGCCTGCTGGGCTCTGCGGACTGTCTTGCTCATGAACTTGGCAGCAGAAAGGTGTGAAACATGTGCCTGACAGCTGTTCAGTTCACAAACTAGTTCCACAGAAAATGTGAAGATTTGCAGATAATCTAAGTCACATTTAATTAAAAATAGCACAAACACAAAATCCCAGATCCTGAAACAGGAGAAATACTTCCATTTCTTTCTTTTTTTTCTTTGATGTTAGCAGCAGGGGAAGGTTTCTCACTGCGTCTGCTTTTAACAACACTCATTAAGTGTTTGGGAACCGAGGAGTCCAGCTGCTGTTGTTCCAAAGCCAAATGTTTCCCCGATCCTGCTTAATGCTACGTGTTTTCAGCTGCTCAGCAGCTCAGTTTTCTCCCAGTTCTCAAAGGTACAGACTCGTTTATGGAGCCATGCTAATGGGATATGTGCAGAATACGTATTGGTATTGTCTCGCCTGAAAAAATACAAAAAGGAGGTTTGGATGGTAGCACATGCTGCCTTATAATCTTCACATATCACTCAGCTTTAATAGTGCTTTTACAGACCACCAACTTACCCATGCACTCTAACTGATATCAAACTGGACGCCCATTTTTAGCTCAGAGGATGCGGAGTTCATGATTCCATGTCTCCACTTCACTTCATCTTAACTGAGCTCTAGATCGGTCTGTGTTTTTTGTTTGTAAACTTCTATTTGTGGTTTCAGTGATGGATTTATGATGGACTTGTGCTTCAGTGCTTTCGTTTCTGGTTTAATGAAATGCTGTGTGACAGCCTGATGGAGGTGATCAGTCATTCAGTACCAGTTTTTAGGCTCGAGGTCTCTCGAGACTGTCCCCGTCCATCTGTGCTTGAACCAGTGAAGTGTAAAAATCAGACATTAGTCCTGATAACACACCTGTCGAAGCTGTTTATTTGTGTGTGTTTGTGTTACCTGATTGGTGAAATACAGCTGGTAGGAATGTTTAACCAATCGGGTCCTGAAGCTGAGGCTCAGCTGACCCTCCAGGAATCTGATGGCGCTGTTTATGAAAGTTGCAGGAACTGCAACGAGGAGCCACTTGGAGAGCTGAAGCACGAAGGCCTGAGGATCCTTCTGAACAATACACCGCACTATCACACCTGACACACACAGCAGATCAATACTGCTGATTAGTGATGATGCCAAACTAACTACGTCACCAATGATACTAAAAATATGATCAATAATAGCGATGGATAACTAATGACTTTATAGACAAACAAGGAGACAGACCGTCCAGAGACGCGACGTAAATCGACAGGAAGGTCCGGGACATCAGGGTGAGAGAGTGTAAGGCGAGCAGGGCGATCTCTGGACAAAGTAACCGTGGAAACAAGAGCTTCAGCAGCCGGGAAAGTCTGAGGAAAAAGTCCCTGTTGACCGACGGAGACCTGAGGACAGAAACACACGAGAAGTTCATCCTGAGCTCGACCCTGAAGGCCCGGAGCAGCCAGACAGGCGAGCAAACCCTCTGCCATTTTAAAAACACACCTGCTGTCACTCTTCTTCTGCTTCTTCGCTTTCTTGTTCTTCTCTCCGCCATCATCAGCAGAGCTCACTGCACCCACTGATGGATCAGATACACCCAGCTGTTTACCTGCTGCTCGCCTCTGCAAAGACAAACCCACAGTCACCTGCGCTGTTTGTACAGGTGTGAACAGGTCTGTGCCGTTCTGTTTTCAGGTCAGTTTATTCTGAGTCAGCTTCCAGAATATGTTTCCTGGTTTCAGTTTATTTTTTTTATCTCATCTTTAGTTTTCAGTGTTTTTGTGAATGTTCTTTTGATAATCCTGGGGAGGATTTGTCTGTGGATTTAGGAAGTTCAGAACAAATAATCCAAACAGAAACGTAGGCTGACTCACCTTCACGTAGACATCCCAGCCTCAGCAAACACATGAACTAATGCTTCCCTGTATTCTTCTTGCTAAACAAAGACTTAAACTAAAGGAATCTTTTGTTAGGGCTGTCACGACACCGACCACAGTTAAATTAAAATACATTTCACTGGTTCACAGTATCTCCAGTGGCTCCACAGTGTGGTGGTTTACACATGTAAACGACGTGTGAGAGGCTCGAGATCAGGAGGAGATAAAAATCCCTTCAAGGTTGCATCAGGAAAGGCGTTCCCTGAGAATAAGAATTTTTCCTATCTACCGAAAATATACAATAGACTCTGTGCGCCTCAGCACATGCTACTTCCGGTGGGGAAACTCCTGTAGAGAGCTTCGTTTCCGGTGTGATTTTCGCTCCTTGTTTACGGTCGGTTTTTCTAAAACAAGTCAACCAAACGCATGAATCAAGCGGTGATTTACATTTCTCGAGATGTCTCGGGCATTTACCGAATATATCTGTAGATGATGTTCGTCGACTTGTCGATATTTTTCCCACGTCCCTCAGAGCAAAAGAGAAAAAGAATTCAAATGTTATATTTCTCAGTATTTGTGTACAGCGGTCCCTCGTTTATTACGGGTGTTATGTTCTAAAAATAACCAGCGATGGGTGAAATCCGCAAAGTAGCCAACTTTATTTTTAACAATTAGTATAGATGTTTTAAGACTGTAAAAACCCCTCACTACACACTTTATACACCTTTCTCAGACAGGCGTGAACATTTTCACACGTTTCTCTCTTGTTTAAACTCTCAAAGTTCAAACCTTTGTAGCAAAATAAGTCCAGTATTATAGAATAAAACCAAAGATCAAACCCTGTTTTCAGTAGGGCTGCCACAAACGATTATTTTGATAGTCGACTAGTCACCGATTATTTATGCGATTAGTCGACTAATCAGATCATCATCCACTGGACGTAAAACTACAGCTTATTGCACCAGCAGCATCTGCTCTTATATAACTATCATTAGCTTACAGCTTTAAGCTTTTAAGGTGCTAACTAAAAATAAAGACAAGATGATAGTTTATTCAATTTTAATGAAATTTGCAGATTGTTTCGGTGAAGTTTAATAAACTCCTTGCTATCTAAAATATAACAGGACACCGGAGTATATTCTCCAGCATCTCACACTTCTGATAATCAGCTGTCTGCTTGACGTTTATTCAGCTGTGTAAAAACTATAACTTTAATCTCAGCCAAACCGATTTACTCAGGAACAAATAAAATACTAAAAAACAAACAATAACATAAGTTACTAAGTGACTCATATATATTTAACCTGAGTACGCGAAAGACGGCGGTGGGTTTGAAAACGAATTTGCCGGGAGTCCGGTGTTCTCACGGCTAGTGACCTAGCCCCCGGCTAGCTATCGAGCTAGTGGGTAACAGACGTCTCCGAAAACGTCGGAGCGCTTTTGAAAATATGTGGTGTCCTGATAAACTGAGCCAGATATTTGAGGTTTACACAGCTACATTCTCGCCTGAAAATATGTTAAACGTTTATTTTGTGACCCAGAAAGAATAATAAGAGTAATATTAAAACTAACTAGCTACCGCCATTGTTGGAAACTAAGCTGGGCCGCGCTATGAATTCTGGGACACAGCTGCTTCTTCTTCTTCGGGGTTTAACGGCAGCTGGCATCCTTGTACATGCAGTGCTGCCATCTTCTGTTTCAGTCCGTTATTACACTCTTAAATCCTGCTACTTATTCCTGCGTCTTTTGCGATCTTACAAAGCTTCAAACGACGCGTCGACTATTAAATCAGTCGTCGACGATTTTGATAGTCGACGTAATCGTGACTAGTCGACAAATCGTGGCAGCCCTAGTTTTCAGGTCCAGAACATGAGAATAGAGCAGCTGCGAGATATTCAACATCAATGAATCAATGAATCAGCGAATCAATGTACGATTCTGTACTGTACAGGAGAGACGGCACGGAGGAGATCGAACAGTGTCTGCAGCCAATCAGGATGCAGAACACAATGACGCATGCAAACTTGCACTAAGAAAATCCGCGAAACAGCGCAGCTGCAAAAGATGAACCGCGTTATAGCGACCGCTGTAATTTTGAAGGTAAGTCACAACATACCCTTCGTAAACTACTAATGTATAGAAACCTTACCAGCAATCATTCATTTATTTTTTGTGGCTTTTTTCACGGTTTGTTAACATGCTGTGTAGGTGTGTACTTGACTAGCTGATATCAACATAACGGGGAAACATCTGGTTTGACTATTCTTCACCTGTAGTTTGAATGCTGAACATTTGCCTGTTTAAATCATAAGACCAGTCACTATACAGAGATGTGCTTCTGAATGTGGACGATGTGTCTTCTGCTGCAGTGATGCAGTTCTGCTTGTGTTGAGTGATGTAAACAACTGATCGATCTAAACGCTTTAAACGTCAAAATTGATCATTAGATTTTTTTTATGCCACAGCAGTGGTGAGTGTTCCCACCTCTGCTCTTTGTAACTTAACGCGATCTTTCCGTTTTCGTGTTTTGGACATGATTCTGGAGTCCATCTTCGCAGTAGCGATTGATTGCAAAATAAAGCTACCGGAAATGTACAACCCTACATCCGGTCTTAAAACTGGAAGTTAGCATTTTCTCGTGAACAGGGTCTATTAAAGAAAATATTTTATATACTTCACTTTACTAATTGGCTACTGCCAATATGAGTGAAAAAAGCATTGATTACACCAGTATGAACAAATGTCACAGCTATAAGTTGACCCACAAACTGAAGAAACACCTGTAAGTCCAGGTGGAGGGCAGAGTAGGAGTAAAAACCTCCGGGGCTGAAACATGAAGCCGACACTGAGATACCCAGAAACTGCCTTTCCTCTAACAAACGCCTGAGGCAAACTCCAAAAGGGAGTCAATCCCCATTGTCTCCTATGTTAAAATGTACGTTACAGCAGAAACCCACTGTAATGTAAAATGTGCCCCACCATAAGAACTGTTCAGTGGGTGAAATTTGTATAGCAGTATCTATCAGTGTCCATCTAGTGAGGTTAACATTAGGGGGTGTGGCCACTTTGATTGCCATGCACCTGCAGCTGATTGTTGTCTCACTCATTGAACTGGTCCTCTCCACCATGTTTGTAGTCTTTGTGCCTCTCAAAGCATTTTTAATGAAATAATAATAATGTCCTGCTGTGAGTTACAGACCATCAAAGATGTTTGTGACTGTCTAGAGTTTTATTGATCTGTTACTACTTAGCAATAATTAGCAGATATCCATGTTAGTGCATTGCTACGGGTCCAAAGCTAACCACAGTGACAGGTTAGACCTTTGGAAAGCAGAGAAGGGAGGAGCCGTGCCTCACGCAGCAACACAACAGCTCCAATGTGAGTGACTGAGCCTGATTAAGAGCTTGTGTGTGAGAAAAGTTGCCAGAAGGGAAGAAAACTGTTGTTAGCGACTCCGTGATTTATTGCGTCATAAATCTTTTTTAGTGCTGCGATAAACATCAAAGAGAATCTGCAACCTGAAGCTGGGCTTTTGCTTTGACTGTAAATCTTTAGTTTAGCTACCCAACAATTTCTCATGACTAAAGTATAATTAATTTTTTTTATTTCTGGTGACTAAAATGGGGTTTTTTTCACACCTAGTTTTAATGTTTCATTCAACAATAATGACCTTTGTGTGTACAGGTGTGTGCGTACCTGCAGCCTCCTCCACACATATGGAGACAGCTTTTTGACGGCATACGCTGTGAGCAGGACGGCCGTCAATTTCCTGAGTCTGGAGCTCCGCCTGAGCTGAGCAGGCAGCTTCTCATAGGTCAGCTGCATGCTGACAGGTAGCCGACGAACGACCAATTGATGTCCAGAAATCGCAGCGTGTCACCTAAGGTCAAACCGAACCTGATCCCAGACGGGTCCACTGTGAACCGATGCGGGTTTGTCAAGGAAACGCCATGCTGACCTCAGAGCGTGAGCCACCACCTGCACAGACAGGTTCAGGTTTTAGATTACACCTCAGTCCAGCTTTAACCGTTAGACAGTTCATGCACTCCATTACACTGCAGAGTAAGCAAACAGCTGCACGGGGCCCCAACAAGGCCCTCCAACAAAAAAACATGTGGCTGTGAATGAATGATAGGGTCGCACGGCTCTGTGTTCACAATCGTGTAGTGAAAAAAGTGGTCATCAATCAATTTTTATTATATTAAAAAAGCAAAGACATGTGCATTTGTTTTTATTGTAATGACTGATCAACATTTCTTGCTTTGTCTGAGACTAAACCACTGCTCTGGTGGAGTCAGACCAACCAGTCTTAACTGGGAGAGCTCTTTGATTTCACCCATAAATAAAGACATTAGCAGTGCAATCTGGTGCATGACCCATTCAGCAGAATTCAGGAAATTAAGGGCCTGACTCTCACAATTTCCTCCAGGACCCCCACATGAATGTGCTCCTTTCTATATTATTTACACCCGTGTGTGTCAGTGTGTAAAGCAGGGGTGTCACGCATGCAGCCCAGCCTGCCAGAGGGTCTGATCCGACACCCTGGATGACTCCGCAAGGTGAGAAAGTTGCAGAAAAGTCTTCAATAATTTAATCTTCTTAATAAAGTAATCTGCTGTTCTATAAAAACATCAAATAAAATTGTTACTTAGACCTAAATAACTCCACCGGAGCTTTTAAAGAGCCACTTAATTCTGTGAAGCACATGTAATGTCAGCTCGAGACAAGCTGTTTCAACTGCTCTTCTGTTATGTCTTCTTATATACCTTAAAAGGATATCCATGTTAAACATCCCCAGCTACAAAACACATTTACGCTCTGTTAAAAACATAAAATTATTCTGATGCAGAAGGAATATCAGCCAGAGGACGACCCCGGAAAGACCTTTCATATGCTATAACCTGTTTGTCCAGCCACCTGTCCCACGTGGTCCTCTGACCCTTGAGCCCTGAAAGGTAACTCAAAAAATACTTTTCCCATTTTTCTCCAGTGACTTATAAGCACACAGATAAAACATGTTATACACATTAAATTAGTGCATTTTCACTGCTGAATCTATGTTTCATCTCATGATAATAAAGCTTAAAATGAATTATAGAAAAATGAAATGTTGGCTGTAGACTGTCACACCTGCAGTGGATCTAAACCTGATTCATGTGCAGTTTAAACAGAGCTTACATGTGTTTTCAGTCCTGGAATTTTATTAAGTTATAAGGGCTCCAATGTGTTCTTGCTTGGGGGTCTCTAACTCTGAGAACAGCCATAATATGAAGGGAAAACTTTCCATTACTTCATTAGAAACGCTAAAGTTATTATATTAAAGAAATCAGCTGATTCTGGGGGATCACGTGGAGGTATTTTCAGCTTTTACTGGTTTGACACGGAATAACCCAAAGATTATTACGCAATGCTTTCATTGGCCCACGCTGAGCTGTATGTGACCATGAACTAAATCACACACCCCCATGTAACCCGATTTGATTAGTGTAACTTTATACGTATTATAAGTGTTGTGAACAGACAGAAGGAATTTAGGTCTGTGATATATGTAATAATCGGACAAAATGTTGTTATATAAGGTCAGTAAACGTGCTGTGACATACTGCACACTGTTATATAACGTTAATAAACGTATAGAGATTATACAACATTAATAATAAGATCCTTGCTCTCTCTCTCTCTCGCTCATTTACTATCGACCAGGGGGACCGGCTCCACTTTAACGCCCCGCAGGTGTCCTGTCGGTGTTCCGGGTACTCTGGTAAACACTCACCCGGGTTCAGCAGCAGCAGTCGGTGACCTGTTGAACATCCACAGTCGGTGTGTCGGTGTACAGAGTCCAGCTCCGGTGTGTTAGCTCCGGTCCCCCTAGCTTCTAAGTCTCCCGTGAACACTGACCGTAACAAACGGCTAACGGCGCGCTGTCGCGCAAACTCGTTTATAACACTACTGCCGTTCGCAGAGTGTCCTGCCCTCCCGCCGAGCAGCTCTCGACCCGGACTCGAACTTTACTCCGGGCTGGGTGACCCGGCAGCGGACCCACGGTTGCTAACTGAAGCTAACTGCTAACAGGAACTTTGTTGTTTCTCTGATGTGGACATGAAAAGCGCACGAAGTTCCGGGTTAAATCGCTCCTCCTGCTTCACAGCCGCCCGGGACAGACGCGCGCACGACCCGCCGTCACTCCTCCACCAACTTCTTCTGCTACACTGAACCGGCGCGAGGACGGTCACACCGGCGGAGGCAGAGAAAAGTTCAGCATCTGTTTACCTGAGCAGCGGCCCGCGTCCGGATACCGACACAACGTGCCCTGAAGGGCGGGCCGCGTTCCGATACTGAGGACGTGACCTCCCTCTCCTCCTTCTGCTTTTATCCGAACAAAATATAAGTAGCTGCAGGGTGGTGGGGAGGGGGTGTGATATTTTAAAAATAAATGAAATAAAACCTCTGATGGTTGGAGGTTAAAGTGATACATTTCAAATAAAATTATTTAAAGTTTACAAAATTAACTTCTAAATTAACAATAAAAAAAAACCTTGCAAAAATTGACAAATTTATGTAAAAAAAAATACTACCAAATTTCAGACAAAAATATGGGAAATTTATGAACTAAAAGATGAAAAATAAGTTTTTGAGAAATAAATTTGCAAATGTACAATGAAAAGACGTAGCAATAATTGGAAATTCATGAGAAGAATAATGCCAAATGTCTGAGAAAGAACTGCAAATTTCTGGTGGGAAAAAATAAAATAAAATAAATATATATACATATAAGGAATAAACGTTTTTCTTTTTAAAAAAATACAATTTGAGTCAGAAAGCCTAAATTCTCTAAATAACTTCCACTTGATAGAAAGAACATGAATTTATACCCAGTTTCACCAGGATCTTACATTTAGATCAAAATCTCTCAGGAGACCTGCTCAAAAGTAGCAGTCATACACTGAATCATAATGAAAACAATGCACATGCAAAATTATATTCAAATATAACAAAAACAGCAACCGCCACATCCACAATTCAGCAATACCTAAAAACATGTTTGTCATTGAGGTGTCTTCCATCCTTTGTATACAGTTTATAACATAGTGATTACAAATAGCAGCAATAATGAACTTGAGTGTTCATTTACAGGTAGCTCATAGTCTTCTGCTAATTCTTTAGTTGTATTAAACAGACCTTAGTTTGAGTTAAAAGGGTTTAAGATTTGTTCAAACAATGAACTCATTTGGTTTCTGCTTTGCATATTCTGTCACAATTACTTCCTACTGCTGGACCGCACACTAAACACATCAGCACTTTGTCAGGCAAACTTGTTCAGCTGGTTATTTATGCAAATATGTGATCAGACAATCACATGGCAGCAGCTGAATCTATTGAAGTAAGCAGATGTGGATAAGACGCCCTGCTAAAGTTTGAACAGAGCATCAGAACAGGGAGGAAAGATGGCTGAAGTGACTTTGTACATGGCACAGAGCGCCTTTGGATCAGGTGACCCTGAATCCTCCCTTAGTTATGCTGCAATAGGCCGAGGCTGCTGATGCATTGAGTGTTTCTTCATTAATCACTGTGTTTTTACACCACTTTGCATTTAATTATTAGTTAGTATTAATCTCTGGTTCTCTTCCTCAGCATGTTTTTGTCTCGTCTTCCTCCACAAACCCTAACTGTTTGAACCAAATTGCTGCCCCGCCCTGAGCCTGGTTCTACTGGAGGTTTCTTCCTGTTAAAAGCAAGTTTTTCCTTCCCACTGTCGCCAAAGCGCTTGCTTATCGGGGACCATGTAATTGTTTGGGTTTTCTCTGTATTATAGCAGAGTCTACTTTACAATATAAAGTTCCTTGAGGCAGGTAAGACTGTGTCCTTAGACATTTTTTGAGTCCCTACATTGTCAGTATTATTTTACTGTGCGCGCAGTAAAGTTGTTTCAGACACACTGAACTACAGATGTCAGTGAATTTTCTTTTCTCAGATCATTGTTGGCATCGTGATGTTTGCACACTTGCATTTACTTGTGAGAAACGAGTAAAAACAGCCAGGAAACAAGAGGATCTAACACTTACTCCCCTGTGTGACTGCGCTGAAAAAAAAATCCAACAATAAAACACTGCAGATCTAAAGGAAGAGAAATCTTTATTTAAAAAGCACCTGCTGACAGCCTCAGGCTTTATTTACACCAAGCTTCATTTCCATCATGAAACATCAGAAAGAGTTCAGAGTGGAAAAAGTACAAACGACCAATAGAAAACCTTTTTTTAAACAGAGTTACTGTACAGCAGAAAAAACAGACTGTACACAGTGCACCTGAATGCATCGTAGCAGAGCCACAGTCCACACAGTGGTACTACAGCTGGTCCTGGACCTGAACTGGGACGCAGAATGGCAGCAGGAGGCCCCAGAGCAAAGAGCTGTACTGGAGACTAGTACAACTTCAGCAGTACAGGAAACAGAGCTTTAACCTAAAAATCCAAGTACTTAACTCAGCTGGAGGAAATTTTCTCTCATACTGAGACACAGAAAGAAAGAAATGTTAAATCATCAAAATACTGTACAGGGTTTGGTTGAGAGAGGCTCCACTGAACCTGGACATCAGCACGTCTGCAGTCCTGGTCCCTGAATACTAGCACTGCACATTACCAGTACTACAGCAGGAGTACAGCACTGCACTCAAGCTAATACTGGTACTGGAGAGTACAGAATGTGACAAATATTCAGACTGGTACCACACCATTATATCCTGGTACTGCAGTAATGCAGTATGTTTAGTGGCGCTGCAGTATTATGTACAGGTAGAGCAGTACGGCAGCTCGAACAGTCGTGAACACGCGTCCTGTATTTACATCGTATCTTCACATGTTTCTGCTTTGGTGTGAGCGTGGAGTGAGGAGAGGGGCATGCTGAGACTTTCTGAAGCCGGAGGGTCACATGACCAGACAGAAAAATAAAACTATCCAACACCCTGCCTGGATCTCTGGAGGTCGGCGATGCTTACGCAAAATATGACTGAAACGTTTTGCAAACGTGCCTAAAAGATGCAAACAAATGGCCCTGATTTGGATTTGGCCATTACCCACTCCCAGGTCAATACAACATTCCCAGTCTCTCCCGAATCACCTGCTGCTGAATTCCTTAAATTCATTTGGTTTCCATTGAATGTTCTCCCTCAACAACGCTTGATAAAATATGATCCTTGGAGACTGGAGAGAATATGGGCAGGCCTGTTAGTTTTTAAAGAAAACCAGGCGTAGCTCATCCTCCTAACGCTGTGGGCTCTTCCAGTAAAGACACTATTTGGACTTTAAACTTCTTACACTGCTGGAAATAGATTTAGTCTCGTGGTGAATGCACCCTACTGTTAGTTGGTCTATTCAGCCATACCCACAACCCATTATCGATGACTTTTCCTAAGCAGCTGGCAGGTTAAATACTCATTCATGTCTGATTAAACAGTGTTAGAAAATAGCCTGAAGCTTCAGCTTCATAAGGCACCAAATCACTCTGGACTGTCTCAAAGATGGCTCTCCTACATGACACCAGACATCCAAGAGCTGGAGCAGATTAAAGACCACTTTATGTATTTGGGTAAGTCCTGGAACAGTTCTGGGCTACAGGTCATGTGTGAAAACTGGAGATCCAGCTCTCTCGATCCTCAAAATTAAAGTTGACGTTTGCTCTCTGAGCAAGTTTGAGATCCACACTGAAATCAACAGAAGAGCGCTGGAAACAGGATAGTGCTAAATGGGAGAAGCCTACATTAACGGGGACGACAGCCAAACTTAAATCAGATATGATTTTTGCTTTTGTGATAGAACACAAATCTGATGTTTTCACCTTTAAAATGTCTTAAAATCTTCTTCTAAAGTGAATCTGTGACCTGAGAAACTTTCTTTGATGTATCGTAACCTCTCAAGTCTCAGTCTGATCTACCGACTTGGTCTGAGTTTGTCGTCATATTGGGTCATGTGACCGCGGCTTCATTGTGGGGGAAGCTGGAGGTCAGGCCGGTTTCAGTGAAGCTGAATTTAAAAATACAAAGCTGGGACAGGGTCAGGCAAAGCTGCAGCTTATGAAGACAACCGCACGCTGAAAGACAATCAATAAATACAGACAGTAGGAACGTGTGGACACAGATCCTGATCAATAACTTATGGATTAATAACACTGACTTCACAGCGCTGAAAAAGCTGCATTTCATTCACGGGCATTTTTATAAAATCTTTTTTCTGGAGCAGAGTACCAAAAAAACAAAAGAAAAAAACAGAATAAATTCAAATTCATCGATTAAACAGTCACTACTGTGACGACTGTGACATTTCCTGATTGTCGCTGCAAATGCTTTTTTTGTTTTTTTCCTGAAAGAGCGATAAAATTTGCAAAGGGAAACTTGGAACAGCTCCTCTTATTGCTTCAGTCGTCCTGGACTTGGAGTCCCGGTCAGCTCAGCAGGACAATGGCTTCACTGAGGGCTCCGAATGGGGCAGAAGGTCTGAGTGGTTCTTGCAGCTTTCCAGCTGCTGATGCTGTTTCTCCACATCTGGATCTCATTTAAACCACAAATACAGAAACCTCCAAAGCGATCACTCTTAATCAATCGAGTGTCTGATCAAACAACTCCTGGTTCCCTTAGATGTGACTATTTTCGTCTTTCTGCGAGAATAAACTGTGTCGCAGCTGATGCCTGTTTCATTATGGATTCATCTGCTGATCATAATCTGGATTTACTGTTTAAAAAAACATGAACAACAAAAACTGGGGAGGGGTTTCCAGTGCAGGAACTACGGGTAGCTGTGGGGTATTTTCCTTGAATTGGTGCCTCATTCAACAAAGAGCCTTTACACTTCCTGTTAATGCAAAACCCTCAATGAATGGGAGTCCCCGGAGCCAAATTGCTTAAATATTTATTAACTCTTCTTCTGTAATTTTCACAAATGCAAACAACTTTCTCAGCTGTCACTCTGCTAATGTGTGCCAACTGGTCTGTTAAGACCTTATGAAAATCTAGAAGCAGCTGTTTGTGGTGCATGAAGGCGACTCATCTCAGGAGGCTGCCGAACACCTAATAACTAAAAAAAGATATTTTACCACAATCCAAAGTTTCAGCTCCATAGAAAAGAGTATTGGAAACAAATGAGAGAAGCCTTCACCAAAGGGGATGGCAGCCAAACTTAATTAGTGTCTTTTGCTTTTTATAGGAACAGTAGTTGAACATTTTGAGGGGATTCTTGTGATGTCTTGGTGTTCTACTGATGTCTAATGATAAACTGAAGACTTCACCTTTAACATTTCTAAAAAGGATCCTCTAAACCGAATCAGTGACCTGTGGAAGAGCGCCATAGAGCCCCACTCATTGTGGGCCATCTCAAGCACATTCCCTAAAGGACGCGTTTACCGACCATGTGCCTTTGTTTTGCCCTGAAAGGAGTCTTCCAGGTGTGGTTCTGACAAAATATGTGCTAGTCGTTCAAATTCTAGGTTCAGACTACAAGAGTTTAAGTTTCCTTTGTCACATTTGGGGACAAAGCAGGATGATGTAAATTACTCTCTGGGGTTAAACTGCCTGGAATGGGCAGCTCGGAGGCCACGATGCACCAGAATTCATGCATCGGCTAAAGCGTCGACTTTGCACTCGGGAATTAAATACTGGTTTATCTGTGATCTGACTGAGCTGAACATGCGCTGAAGTCATAGTAAAGCTGTGTGAGTTGCATGTGTGAAACTGGCTCTTTGATAAGAAACAGCTGCCAGGGGTTAAAATAAAAAGAAACTTTCTGCGTTTGTAATTTCTCACTGCAAAGTGCTGCTAAATGTAAAAACTTAACCATAAAACCTCTCCGGTGTTCCTGCAGTGGAAACCAACAAACTATCCAAACCTTAAAATGATTAGAAGTGAATTACTAAAATGCAAAGTGTCAGATATTCACATTTCAAATCCTTCGACTCGGTTAAAAAGTCGAGTGTTCAGAAACCAAATGAACCTTTCAGCAGTTTGTATCGGCTTTTAAAGTGTCCCGTTTGCAAGCATCCTCGTTTCCAAGTATCTAAAGTTGTCAGATAACGCGTACAGAAAATATTTCCCTTTTCGGAGGAAAGGCTCGTGAGTACGTCAGCTTCTGTGAGTCCCTCTGCAGCAGTGAGGTGGGAAGCTCCGTTTACTTCAGAGGATTTATTCTGTTCACGTTTGGTTTCTACTCGAGGGCTCTGCAGCTGCTTAAAGCCACAAACAGCCGCAGCGACAGTTCAGCTGGTGTCAGTAAACTCTGTGCTCGAGTTTTAGTGCAGAGATGTTGAGTCCAAACCGGGAGAACCTCACCGCGACGCTCCCTGCCTGGACTCACCTGAGGGATCGACAGGTCACCTGATCAAGTCACCAAAAAGTTCTTTTTGCGCTTTGCTGGTTGGCTGCAGGTAGCTGGTGATGTCATCTGTCTTCAGAGGAGGTACGTCCTCCTCGTTGGTGTTTTGAGAGTCTGATTGTCTAAGCACAGTCTGAAGGGTGTAGAAACAGAGCCACGGACACCTTGTTCAGTTTCTGCTTTAATCTAAAACCTTTCAGAAAATGGCTGCATCTCTGAAAGGACTCCAGAAGTCTTTGTTCTAGCTATCCCAGAAACAGGAACCTGTGAGAGACGCCGTATCTCCATCTTCAATCTGAACGCCTGAGAAATAACGACTTCCACAAAAGCAGAGAATCGTCTTCGGCTCGTCCATCTGCAGCTTTTAACAATAAATCTTAAAATGTATTTGGAAAAGACGCGTACAGCATGTGGCTGGTGTTTCAGCATCAGTCTGATGCCACCGTAGGAACCCGGACCTTCCTTTCTGAACAGTTACGGCTGCTTTTGGCCACTGATCATCGGGCTGAGTTCATTTCTCTGAGAACTGCGACTCCATTGAGCGAAGAGAACCAAAGATTTGGCCACGACCATTTACGTCGCTTACATGTTAGAAACTAAAATCCCTCAGTGTGAAGTAGCCGTTAGGATAGTTTGAGAAATCTCAGGGCAGGTCGTGCATGTGAACATCACTAATTAGTCCAGAAATGTAGCATCTTCCACAGCAGATGACACTTTTGGTGGCAGTAATCAGGGCGAAGCAGAACGAGACAGATTACTTTCTGAATCCAGACTTTAATGCCTGCAGGGGACAACTGTCAGAGGAAATCGCTCAATCTTCTTCTTTGCAACACAGATTGCTGCAGGAACTTTTTCCTGTCATTAGTTCCTAGTAGAACTGATGTTTCTGGAGAGTTTGGTGGAAAAGCAGCTGTTGACTTAAAGTCCATCCCTGATAGAAGAAGTTCACCGAGCAGAGCAGCAGTGACCCGAGCAGCGAGGAGCAGGTCCAAGGAGGGAGGAGGGTTGGACCTCCTCCCTCCTTGGACCTGGTCTGGGGTTTGGTTCATTTTTACAAACAGAAGCTCGACCCTGAGGGCAGACGAGGACGAGGCGGGCGGGGTTTTCCATCCTGTACGATCAGGAACTTCCATTCATCAGTACCAAGGTGTGTTTGATTCAGACACCTGGACACGCATTCCTTCATACTGCTCATCCCAGGAAGCCAGCCTGGAATTAGTCCCTTTGCCTGCCTCTCAGCATCGTGATTGGTTGCTGAGTCAGACCAGAGTCCCAGGAGACGGTTGGTCCATCGGCGGATCTCTGAGAGGGACTTCCTGTTTATGAGCAGGAAACGAGTCGTGGTAGAGCGAGCCATCCACAGACCTGTAGGAAGGACAGAAATGGATATTTACCCACACAGCAGGAAAGTCTTCCTAAAAGTCGCCTCAAACTCATTGCGCTGCTTTTGTTTGACCTTTAGGTACTTTAACACATTTGTTCTCATTTTAAATATCACTCTTGCAGCTTCAAAACAAACATTACTGCTGAACAGAGGATAAGAGTTCTTCAGGGTTCGGACCGACCGCAGTGACCAGCAGGTTGGAGCGGATCTGTAACGAGGAGGCTTCAAGGCTCAAAGCTGAGGAGAAGCGCTCTCTGCTGAATACGTTTTGACTAATTTACACTGATTACCATCATCGAGCTTGAGGATAATCACGTTGGAAGATCTAAGCAAGTTTTTGCTGCCGTGTCTGGAATAAAGAACCTGCTGTGATCAAAGACGAGTCGGACGCTCCGGCTTTCAAAGCAAAGACTAGAAGTGAAGAAAAACCGTCCTTCGAAAAAAGGATCAAGTAGATTTCAGCAGGTTTTCATGATTTTAATCTACTTTTAGTCCGGACACATTTGCGTCTTAAACTATGTAACAAACATCTGAGTATAAAGGGGGGCGTGGTCATCTGACCCATACCTGCCGTGCAGCGGGTGTCCGTGGAACGTGGCTGAATGCGGCAGCGTGTGTTTGTGATGCGGCGCAGCGTGATGATGATGATTCGTCTCCGTCTGATAGGCCGATTGCTGAATGACACCGTGTGTCGTCCGTCTCCGCTGCAGAGCCCCGCCTCCTCCCGCCTGACCTTTGACCCCTCCATTCATCTTACTGCCGTTGGTCCCTGCGGTCACCTTTCCATTGGCCTGGTTCTGGTGGGAGGAGCCTAAGGTGTTCCTTAGGTACCAGTCCCTCAGACCTGTCAATCACACATCAACAGCTCATCACAGTTTCTGCTCCATGGAAACTTCTCCCATCACCACACTCAGAGCAAGTTTCACTGAGCTGGCTGTCTTTAATCGTCAGCCATCTCAGCAGGTTCAGGCCAACCTCTGAATCTCCTGCAGACTTTAGCTGTGTCTAGATAGAAGATATGGTTTAAAGACTCTCAGTATAACCACAGTTGTTAATGACACCCACATCAAACCACAGTGGTCTGTTGCACTGTTACGTGTACTGAACCTTAGATTACACATTTAAAAAAAATAGAGGAAGTCACTTAGCTAACCGATCACTCACTGGTTAGCTAAGCTTCATGAACGGGTTGAGGTTTCACTCTGATTCTTTTGATGGTTACAATCCGGGTGTTTTTAAACCACCTGCCTCATTATGTGTCACACGAGCGTGTGGTGACAACTTATCTGTCTGAATACACAAACCCCGTTTTATCTACTGGGGACTATAACTCAATAAATGAACATCGGGTTGCATTAAACAAGAAGTGAAACTAGAAATGAGGTCACAGAAGGAGTGAGCGCCGTTTACCCTTCTATTTAAACTCTATGGTAGTGCGCCTGAGACTTGATAACAGACAATAAAGTTGACTTGATGCAGTGTAGACAAACTGAGTGATGAAACAAACAACAGGCGGTGACCTCCAGTTTACACTGAGGCAGTCTCAGGCCAAGTGGGAAAGAGTGGGAATAGAATTAGCACCTCCAACTCCGGGACTATGGAGTACCCTCTCAGAGTCCAGGATGAGTTGCTGCCCCAAGTGGAAGAGTTTAAATATCTTGGGATTTAAATAAGTGAAGGGAGAGTGGACCGTGAGACGGACAGAGGGATTGAGAGCCAGAGTAGAGTCCCTGCTCGGTGGCTCAGGATGAACAGGATGCCTTCTGGACGCCTCCTAGGTGAGTCTTACCAGGAGGAGACCCTGGGGCAAACCCAGGACATGCTGCAGAATCACGTGAGGTCTAGAGAAGTCTTAGCTTCTCTGCTTAGATGATTGCCCAGAGATGCAAGCGTGGGTAAGCAATGAATGGATGAAGCAAACATATTTGTGTTATTCTGTCTGACTTCCACCAGGTGGCATCACCTCCTCACTGCAGTACACCAGTAGACAGTTTCTGCTGCACTGACCCAGTTTTATCTCCATCCCATGAAACATTCAACACGTTTGAGCTTCACAGCTTCACAGATCAGCAAACATCAGGAGGTAAGAGAGGCTGAGCTGTAAGCTAATGAGCCCCAAAGCCTCCGTACAGGAAGTGCAGAGCAGCTAAAGGGTAACAATACTCACCTTCCAGGGCGAGGGCCTTGTGGAGGCTCCTGGTGGCCTCCTCCAGTTGGGAGTCCTGGTTGGGGGGCAGCTGAGGGGGTCGGGGCGGCAGCAGGTGGGGGTGGGGGTCGGGCTGAATGGCGACCAGAGGGGGATTGTGGGTATCAGTCTGGCTCTGCTGCACCGGGAGGAACGGACCGCACGATTTGGTTCGGGTTACCGTGACCCGCCGCTGGTCGCCTTGGGGGCCGCGGTAGGTGGGCGGGGCTCCTGATGGCTGCTGGGAGTAGCCATTGTAGACTACCTGCTGCTGCGATGTGATTGGCTGTCTGTGGGGCTGAGAATGCTGTCTCTGCAGCTGCTGCTGTTTTCCCCAAACATAGTCCAGCAGGACATCGCTGTACCCCGCTCCTCTTCCTCCTCTGTCTCCCCTTCCTCCTCCCCTTCCTCGCCCTGCACCTCCCCCTTTTCCTCTCCCATCGCTGACTCCATTATTTGCCCTCGACCGTCCGTCTGTCAGCGTCTCCGAGTTCCAATACGCGCCGGCTGTGCTTGTTCCTCTGGACCCCGGCAGCCCGTTTACCCACAATCCCCCCTGCTGCACCCCAACATCATCCTCAGGAGGGGTGATGCGGTCCAGGAGGCCATCAGAGCTGTTACTACGGCGAGCTGCATTAGCCTTGAGTCCTACCTCCCCTCCTGCTCCAGGGTCAGACGGGCCAGAGGAAGAGGAGTCCTGAGAGCGAGGGGGAGGGGGAGGAGGTTGTGAGGGAGGCAGTGGGAGGGGCTTCTGGCTGTCCAGATGCTCAGTTCTGAAAGACAAAAGGAAATATTTTCAGTATACAGAGGGGAGGGGCTGTTCGTGCTTCCAAAACCAAACATGATGAGGTGACGCTGAACATGAAACCTCAAGAAATCTGTGAGCTCCGATCATGAGATCACAGACCGTGACACAAACGTGGACGTGCTCTGAGCTGTACCTGTGCACGGAGTTCCTCCTGGTTCTGTTCTGATAGAAAACCTCCACCGGAGACCCAGAAGAAACCAGCAGGGGGCGACACTGAGACACACCGTCATCTGCCAGATACATAGACAGAAATTTACTTGTGCTAGAAATATTAACTTTAATTGAAATCTATACCTCAGTTCAACTTATAAGAGCTGTCAATCACTTATATTTTCCTTATGATATTGTAAGTCAGGATAAAGACAGCTGTAACCATGGTAACCGTGCACAATGAAGATTATGTCAGATATCACGATGTTTGTAAGACAAGCAGGTCTTATAATTTAAGGACATTTAATTTCGGAACAGTGTAGCAGGGAAAACATCACATTCATAAACACGACCGTTAAAAAGATCGATAAACCTGCACATTATGAAATAGATAAAATAATTAACTGATTAACTGTCTAGTGTTTGCCTGATGTCTAGTATACAAAATGTCTTATGATAAAAATATAGAGAGAGAATAAAAACATGTGTTAAAAATAAAAAAAAACGCTAAATAATCAAAACATCCTATGCCGAATCAGTCTGTTCGCCTATTCACTGCCAGCAGCCGTGCAGTTCTCCAAAATGAGAGCAGAACTGCATTCAACTTTTACTGTTATTCCTCCAGTCAGCCAGCTGAGGGCGCTGCAGCTACACTACCAGTTTTACAGTGTGTTTGCTTGTACATCCATCTTTGCGAGGACCACTGAGAGCTTCAGAGTGAGAGCAGGTCCACAGCACAGACCTTCTGTTTCAGGGTTACATCAGAATCGGGTTTATGTTCGGGCTCAGGAGTGTTGGAAAAACATTAAGTGATGGTCCTCGTACAGATAGAAGGGTGTGTGCGCGCGCGTGTGTGTTCATTACCATTGTCGTGTCCTGTTGAGTCTGATGTCGAGCTGCTCTCTGACCTCACTGTGTCGTCTGGAAACACACACACACAGGAACAGAGTAAGAATAAAAGCAGGAAGACGCTGGTTTCCTCATCTTCCTGAAACAATGGCTTCTCATCTACTGCCAGCTGTGAGTGTCTCCATATGTATGCATGTGTATCTATGTCACATCTATCGCACTGACTGCGCCTTCTGCGTCTTTAGTCCTTTGAAGACGCTCCAAAGAGGACGGCTTTCAGGAAACTGATTAATTTAGTTGTGAGGTCAGTGAGTGTGATGCAAACAGACTCATATCTTTGACTAGAGCTGATTGCAGGGTTTTACTCGCTGCGCGAACGTTACATAATGGACTCAAATGAAAACATGCGAGATGTGATAGTAATGATGAGATTACAAAAAGCAAAAACTGTATCCCCCTTCTCTCCTCACGTTGACCAGTCCCAGCCTCTGACCACTCGCATGTGAACAAACCTGCGCAGATAAGAAAGGCCTTCCATGTCCATGATGTGAAAGTTCTCCTCACCTAGGATGGGATTAGTGTGTTTGGGCATGAGTGAGATGCGAAGCTAATGTCGGAAACCTGTGAAGTGCAGTTTCTGAATCCCTGGCAGGAGTATTCTGTAGACTTTTAAAAGTCAGTCAGAAACATTTACGTTAACTTGGGATTTTTAGCAACATTTTTTTAAACCTCTTGAACTCGTTGCAGAAATCTGAGGACCAGTTTTGGAGGTTGGTGAACCAGTTGGAGAGCCTTGTGATGAACTGGCGATCTGACCAGAGCCTGGATACATACCAGTCCTCGCATTATTTAGAAAATGGATGCATAAGTTGCAGAGTGTGAAGACTCGTTGGAAGGTTCTGGGGACTCGCTTTCTGATGTATGAGGACTTCTGAGGTAGCGGGACGAGTTAGAGCGGTAATAACACTACCTGCAGAGATCGGAGTACACACTGCACAGGTCTAGGAACTAGTTTAAGAGGTCTAATAACTTTCTAAAGAGATCAGTAAAGTACAAAGTAGTTTGTGTCTCCTATCTGTGAAAAGTGCTGCATTAATTTTATTTATACAGCACCAGTGCACAACAGCACTTGCCCTGCGAAGTCCTTGTTGTTTTTTGCAAGTGCTCCCCTATAGAAGAACGAGATGGGCCAGGTACCATCTGTATCATAAATGTGTGCCAGGTGAATATGGCAGCAGAAACCGGATAGTGTGTGTGTGTGTGTGTGTGTGTGTGTGTGTGTGTGTGCGTGTGTTGAGTCTCTTGTGTGTGTGTGTGTGTGTGTGTGTGTGGTATGTGTGTGTTCTGTGTGTGCTGTACAGTTCCCATCGTTTGTGTGTGTCTGCGTGTGTGCGTTGTGCTCAGAGTCGCTGTGTTTCCTCAGAGCTCCGCTGAATAAATTTTTCTTCGGCTTCGAACGCTGAGCGTCTTCCTCTAAAGATAAAACACAGCATATAAAGGTCACCAAACATGCACGCACAGGGATATACAAACAGACTGCCTCAGCGTGAAACACACATGAAGGTCAAAACTGTTCCATCAACAACACACACACACACACACACACACACACACACACACACACAGGGGGACAGTAAAAACACCAAACACACACACACACACACACACAGGGGGACAGTAAAATTCTCCACCACTGTTGAAATTATTTAGAGTCAAATCACTCCTCAGCTCCTCACCTCTACTCGACACTTCCTGTTTCCCTGGCGGGACGTCCCACCTCTCCTACGAACACAGGGGGGCTTCTCCCCTGCCTCCAGGGGGAAATCACTGGGCACTGCACCCGTCAGCTCCTGATCAGGAAAACACAGGAAAACCCAACTTACAGCTATCTGGCAGTTACTTTAGTCATTGTTAAAGTAAAAACTAAGGTAGAGTCAGCTGAAGTAATCGGAGGTTGGGGACTGGATAGAGAAGACTAGTTAGAGACATAAAAAGAGCATCTGAGGAGGTTCAAGCACCAGATAAAAACATCTGAAGGCCACGTGGAGAGGACTAGTTGCAGAGAGGGATAAAAGGATTAGTTGGAGAGTGAAGAGGACTAGTTAGCTGCAGAGCTAAGAAGACTTTGGTTTAGGTGGGAATGCACTGTCAGTGTCTTAGTCATATTGTCATCTCTTTTTATGACATCACTTACAGCTTCCTGCAGACAGATCCGTCTCAGCTCAGCCAATCGGCTGCTAAGCAGCGCCTGGAGACTCCGCCTCCTCTCCTGTAGCTCCACCATTCGCTCTCTCTGCTTCCTGTCTGGGCAGGTGAGAGGGTCTGCAACATGCAAGCAACACACACACACATAAGAGACAGCTAACAGACACACTCGAGAGTGTAGCATCACCACATGTCAGCGTTTATTCTCACCAGGTGCTGAGATGAGTTGACCTTTGACCTCCATGGCTTGTGTGTCCCATATGCCCTCTCCACCTCCTCCTTCCTCACTACTCGACTCCTGTTCACCTCCCCACACACACTCTCTCACCTGCAACACGTTGTCATCACAAATAAAGGTTAGTACTGCAAGCTAGCACAGACTTCCTGCAGTCCTGATGACACTGACAAACCCTGCTGCTCATGTGATGTCAGCACCATGTTTTGACCAATTAGCCAATCAGAACCTTCGGGACTTTCTCACCTTGCAACTGGGTTCATAAGAGTTCCAGTAGTTCACTCCTGTGGCCATCCAACAGTCAGAACACAAACCACAGCACTGCTTCACTAACTGGGCGTCTCACTGCTCGGTTAGCTGTTAGCTGACGGTGAAGCTGCAGTTCCAAAATGGGCCTGAAGAGGGAGGCAAACAGTCTTCAGCGCTCCTGACCTAGGAGAACAAAAGCACAAGAAGAAAAAGAAGAAGGTGGTAGAGTGAGGACCAATCAGGAAGTCAATAAAAGATTATAAGCTAAAGTTCAAAACAACAGATTTTCTCTCAAAAAGTCACAAATACTATCAAAGTAAACATTTTAAAATGTAAAAACTACATGCAGTTAGCTTGAACTTAGAACCTTAACAAATACATTTACACGAGAAATTACCAATAAAAAATAAAGGTAGAAAAAAAAAAACCTTTCTAAGAAATACTTGGAGTGGCTCTGGCTGAGCAGGCGACCCTGCCTGGGTTTGATTCCATCCTGGACCATTTCCTGAGACACATTTCCTCTTGCCCTCTCTTTCTCTTTCCTGTCTACTCTCCTCTATATCTGTCCTGTCCAATAAAGACCAAAAGAAAGAAAGAAAATCACCAACTCTGGAGGACGAGGTCTCATTAGCAAACTACAGCACAAACAAATGTTTAAATAGTGAAACATGTAGGTGCACTTTCAGCTGCTCCTTTATTAACAGCGCTCGCCACGGCAGGTAGCTCTGCACGCTTGATTTGGCCAATTTATGTATACTCCATATGACTCTATATGTGTGCATCTGTGCATTAAGTGAGCTGTTAAACTCAAGCAGCATCAAACCTTGCAGTTGTTTGGCCACATGTTGGTGGCTGCAAAAGCCAGTAGCTCACCATAGACTCTCATTAAAATGTGCAACTTCTCAGCATTAAAAAGCACGTTTATTGGCTGGTATGAAGAAAGGTTTGGTGTCTGTGGACAGCTGTACAGGGGGGATTTTTAATAACTGATCCACCTGCATACGGGTGAAGCAGATGTAGCAGCTCGGTGTCTGCAGGGTCTCACCTCAGCTAACTGCAGTCACTGAACTGGACCTCCCCAATGTTTTTGTGCTGCTGTTGCCTTTTGGAGCGTTTTTAATGGAGGATCAAATAACACTGCTTGCTCTGTGATACAAACGTCTTTATTAGCACCAATTAGCAGGTAGGTGTGCCAGTGTGTTGCACCCACAGGGACACTGTGGAGAATATCCTGACCTGGTTCTCACAAATCTGATGTTGTGGCTTATTTGTAGATGCTTCCAAGCCTTCAGCGGCCAACAGAGAAGCATCAATCTCGCCCACCTGATTCGACCCAAACACCAACAAAACGTTTGGATTCACATTTTAATTGCAGATTTGTTTTACATGCAAAGAAAGCTGACCGAGTGCAGGTAAAACCTTAAACCCATTTTCTGTTTGACGGCAAAATAAAGACAAAGTTCACACGTCACATAAATGCTTCATACAGTTTTATTCTTTAAAAGCTCAACGTGCCCTAAAGTAGCCGGTCTCTGCATTTTTAGCAAGCAAACAGGAGAGGATGTTGCATTCATTAGAGAATGAAACCATCACATTTGGTGCTTTCGCGAGAGTTTTTACAAAGAAAACCTACAAATACTTTGAGTTCATGGTGATAATTAAGTATGTCAGCCACTAAGAATGACTCAGAGGCTTTAATAGTTTGGAAAAGGCAAGGCCTTGAAGATCCTCGGGTTAGGGATTCAGTCTGTGTTTGTCGGTCTCTGAACTGGGATTAAATGCACAATATGAGCAGAGATACGATTTAAATGGATCTGAAACAATGAAGTATTTTCTCGTGGAGCTTCGTGATTAAACGCGCAGGTTTGTGTGCTGGAGCTGCAGACGGAGACAGCTGGCTCCAGATTTACTGGGTTTAAAGGAAAAATGTGGAGAGAACGGCGAGTACTGACATGCCTCAGACAAAAGACAGACACACAACACACACACACAAAGGTTTATCTGTCAGTCTGTAGCCAAAACAGAGAAAGACCAAAACACACGAAGCCCATTTACAGTGACAGCGTGGTCAGGCGACAGATGTTTGAAGCTCGTGTGACCTCTGCATGTCTGTCTGGAGAAATATTATCTGGACCTTTGAAAATCCAAATTTTAAAAAAGAGAGAGTGAGAGCTTAAGTAGTATCCTGCCTTGTGATTGGCTGGGAGCAGGTGTTTGATCTCTTCCTGCTGGTTGGAGGAGTGAAACCGAGAAACATCTGCATCATCAGACAGCAGCAAAGTCACAGCGCGATGGAAACAGGCTCTGAGCTTTTGTAACATTTTTACATGTAAACTTTAACCGTCTCCAGCTGTTCCTCTGATTTTAGTCAACATTCATCAACAGTTTTTTCTAATCCAACCACATGTGCAACACTGACTGATGACAGCGTCACTGCGTTTAAACCTAATTAGTTCAAAAGCCCACAGAGGATAAAAACACACCATGCAAGCCTCTTTGTAAGAATAAAGAGGTTTTACATTTTAAATGCTGTCAGTGGCAGACTGCACATCCGGAGCTTGCAAACGTTTCCTCGAGGAACCTGAACAGCAAACCTAACAATATTTAGTAAAAAGCACAAATAGGTTCATGGATCTCTGAGAATCCACACTGCAGATGTCTTTCTGTAGTGTTTACAGGACTGCGTTGTGCACATACAGCCTCTCTCATGCAACATCTACCTGCCTGTTTGAGCATCTGTTATAACAAGGCAATCAAGACCGGAGCAAAAGGTAGTTTTTCTAGCTTTAGATCTGTTCAGTTTTGATCATCTCCTGTCCGTTTGCCTCCTAACAGGGATTCAATACTACAGAAAATCTTATAAAACCACAGCACGACGTCACTTCCCATCCTGGAAATGTTCCAGCCCAACAGAGGAAAGCAGACACGAAGAAAACAACAAGTGTTACTTAATCACAAAACAACAAGGAGTCTGAAACCTCTGCACACTTTTACCCTCCAACTGGAGGAGAACGAGATGTCCTCCGACAGCACAGCCCTGAGAACAGGAAGTGGAGCCCAACAGGAAACAGGAAGAAGGAAATGAGTGATGAAAAAAAAAGGGGAAATTGGGGGGATGGGAAGGACTGACTGGGAACAGCTGAAATGGTTGGTAACACTGGTGTGATTCACGCCACAGTATCCAGCAGCGGAGGATAAAATTCAAGTTTGTGTAGAAATGGCGAGGATCAGAGAGGCGGAGCTTATAGCATTATCACCGTCTTCTTCACACAGATGTTGAAACTGTGTAAGGAAGATTGCAGCAGATGGTTTGACGTCCTGTTTCTTTGGAAAGCTTCCTGTAGAGCAAAGAGTCAGTGTAGGGAGGAGGTCAGGGTGGATGATGCAGGATGTTCATAAAACGTTAAACTGGCTTTTGTTGTGACCAGTAAAACACATCTACTGACCCAGCTGCCCAGGAGGACAATAAAACAAGAACTAATTTGCAGTAAAGCTTCATTTGTCGACCGTGTACGGACGCTGAAGTTATTTCAGTATTTTCTGACTGCTTCTTGGAGCCATTGGTGAGTCAGGCATGCAGGGACGAGTGCCAGGAGTCCACCAGGAGACGAAGGAGAAACAAAATTACAGCCTCTACTACTACAGAAAAAAAGAAAAATGTACAATCTGACACTAAGATCATTGAAAAGGGAAAAAGAGCAGCTGTACGTGACATTTTCCTGCCCGAGCTGGCAGCTACTGTGAAAAACGGGTGTGTGCACCAATTTTGGTACCTGTATCCACTTGTGAGCAATTTTCATGACATATGAAATCATCTGCTGCACGAACTACACCGATCTCACCGAAACCATGGAGTTCGAACACGGCTTTCACTGCTCGGGTATTTATTTGCATGACATTACAGAGGGGACTTTTATAAAAGCACAGATGCAGCACTGATCGACATCTGTGGGAAACACTGGATCTGGACTTTAACGTTAATCAGGGAGTTTTTCCCTCAGGGAAAAACAAACAAGTGTGGAGATGAGCCAGAGCTTACTGACGGGGTTTTCTGACACCAAATGCTCTGTCAAATGGTCTCCCCCTCCTCTCTGTCCTCCTCCACCCTCCTCCGCCTCTTACATTCCTGAGTCCTGCCGGGTCGAGTCCAGACCTGCAGCTCCTCCCTTCATCCATCAGCGGCTCGATTGATCGGCTTCAGCTCGTCCGTCTCCTCGCGCCGCGATGCGCTGCTGTGATGGAGTGAAGTCTCCGAGACAGGTTGTTTGTGCTGCGAGGGCGACACGTGCTCTTTACCGTCGGCGTCCTTTGGTGTTTTGTTGCATCTCGTCACCGGAGGTTTGCTTCACATCTGTTTTTCTACTCTCACACACTCACAGCCTGGTCTTTGACCTTGTTGTCTGTGTGTGTGTTTTGGGGGAGGGTTGGGGTGTCACTCTCACCTCCCCTCCCCCCTCTCAGGTGTTGCAGGCCTGAACAGCTGATCTGATAACAGCCCGCTGAGGCCAATCTGTTTCCAGTCTGAGTGCCTGCCCTGATCTCTCTGAACCAGCACAGCCTCCATCATCACTGCGAGGAGCAAACGCTTTCAGAGCCTCGACGCTCGCCCACGTCACAGTCCAGGGGTCGGATATACGAAGGATGCGTGCACACAGACGACACACAAACACGGCTTTTTGTGTTAAAAGTTCAGAAATCCAGAACAAGAACTACAGCTACATCCAACTTTCAGCACTGAAGACTATAAACGATGCAGCTCTTCTTTTAAACCCTTACCTTCTTCTGTAAATGATTTAATAACTGTAATTAAACGGATTTAATTTGATAGATTCACACTTCGTCGTCTCTTTTGTTTCAGTCGTGGCGCTTTAACAGCTGCTGCCTCCATTTATTTTGTGCCTTCGGTAGTTATTCATCCGCTTGTGGCATCAGATCTGAGATTACCCAAAACTCATTTTTCCTGAATGTCTCGCCTTTATATTCTGCTTCTTCTTTGCTGCTGACCTAACATGACATTCATTCACAGCTAAATGTGAAAACATGAATGATGCTCGTGAACATGCACAACACTCCAAAATGATTGGAATTCACAAAAAGAGGACCAAGCACACGTGAAGCTTTATAAGTCAAACAGAAAATGCACGGGTTTCTGCCTTTGTGCACTTTTAGTCATGAATCTCTACAGTTCAATGCGTCTGGGCCGAGAGCTCTGCACTGTGAGGACTGAACCTCAGGTTTAACCTGCGCCTTCAACGTTACAAAGGTGGGTCACTTCTTAGCCGTGCATCAGACTGGCACTCTGTCCAGGACGTGCTCTGCCTTTCGTCCAATGACAGCTGGGACACACTCCAGCACCTCTGCAACCGTGAACTGGTCAAGTGGTTAAGAAAATAGATGGTTGGTTCACTTCTTATCAGCGCGCATCATTGTCATTTCGTCCCGTCTTCCTCCCTCAGCTGGTCGTGGCAGATGGCCCCGCCCCTCCCTGAGCCTGGTTCTGTCACAGGTTTCTTCCTGTTGAAAGGGAGTTTTTCCTTCCTACTGTCGCCAAGTGCTTGCTCATAGAGGTTGTCTGATTGTTGGGGTCTTCTATAAATAAAACTTTAGTTGAATTATTGGAAATTATGCTGCAGATCTAACTGAGCTGAGAACTCGAGATAACGTGTGTAAAACTACCAGCCAATCAGTCCTCTGGAAAAAAATCCTGGAGACGTCCATGCTCAGGGAGTAAGAGGATCAAAGGTTTTTGTCTTTCCTGAATGACAACCAATAAAAAAAGAGATTCACAGAAGCAAATTATTCCTTCACTCGTGACCCCCCACCTCCCCCACCACGACCCAGAAGACTCCAAGTATATTTCATTGTTTTATAAGCCTAATAATTGCCATATTTCCTTAAAACAGGATACCTAAACCTTGTATTTGTTCATCTTGCAGGTAAAATTCTTCACTTGCTCTCAGACCGTTTAAAACCAACAAGGCTGCAGCTGAATAACCATAATAACCTTTATTCAAGCAACAGGCTACACATCTGTACTTGAAGCCAGTTCTTCCCTTGTATTAATGAAGGAGCAGTGTACCTGATTACTGTTTCTAGCATTAAATGAACTACAGCTTAACTAACCACCTCTCACATGCTGCTTATTCATATTTTTCCAATACTTCAGTTTGATCTTTGTTTGTGAAACACTGCCAGCAGACCTGTTCCTGTGATTGTGACAAGATGCTAATAGTTAGACTGAAAACCCTGAGCTGACACATCCAGCTGATAACAGCCTTCATGTGATTGCTGACTGCTGATCTTAGGTTAAGTGAAGCCAGATAAGGCAAAGATATCCTGAGCATGCTGGACGTGCTCCAGGATTCGTCCTCCAGATTCTGCTCAGACTCACAGCTGTGGAGTTTTACTCGCCCACAGAGCAAGACCAGAACCAGAAGAAACACGTCGGGCCAATCAGGATCTGACGTTCGCCGCTAACAGCAACATGATGTAAACAGAGAGGAGCTCATGATCCCAACAAGTCAACAACAAATCGAACATTTAAAGATGAGAGAGATTAACACATCAAATGCACAGAAGAGGCTCAGCACTTCATACTGAACACACACACACACGCACACACACACACACACACACACACACACACGGGGAGAGTTGGTGATGAAAGGCTGCAGCTGCAGACAAAGAGATGCAAATACAGGATTTAAATATTCAGCAGAGAGAGATGGATGCTCTGTGCGTGTGTGTCCTCTCTCTGCCCTCACACTAAACCAGGAGATCACAGCAGCACTAATCCTGTTATCACGAACACTCTCAGTAGGAACTGAACCACGTCTCCGACCCTCTCCGGTCCAGTACCAGATCGGCGCTGCGTGACCACGGCTTCGGCTGCATTTACATTCATCTCACCAAACTCAGGCAGGAAATCAGAGAAACACGGCGAACATATAAATCACGCTGCCCAGAGTTCACCGATCGTGTCCTCGCAGCAGCAGCAGGTTCACACGAGTCTGTTCCTGCTATTCTGTCCACCCCACCTACACATCAACCATCAACTCTCCTCTAAAAGTCACCAGCAGTCTGAGTACAGCTCAGTCACGGACCGGCTTAAAATTCAGACATCCGCCACACGTTCACCTGCATACAGCTGACTCCTGACGGAGAGTCCAGAAAGACCACAGGTTTGTTCCACTAAATAAAGAGAACACACTCATTTGAAACTCTTTAAAGCCCAATTCTTACTGCATAAAGGTGACACAGGAAACGTTTAAACTTGGACGTTTTTACTTTCAAATAAAAATCTGCCCATTTCTAATTCGGTGCCAGGAACACGCTCCAGTAAAGTCGGAACAAGTTCCCCGCTGTGATTCATCACCTCTCCCTTTTGACACTGCTCGCTGCATGCCTCCCATTCTTCTACTTCAGGTCTCCTTTGTTGCAGTTTTTTGTTTCATAATCCTCCAGCTGGTACAGGTCCGGACTGCAGGCAGGCCGGTTTAGCAGCCGGACAGTTTCCCTCATACGTGTGCAGAATGCGGTTTGGTTTTTGAGTTACTGAAAAAAGCAACACCTTCTCTAAAAAAAAAAAAAGATTGAAAAAGCTGCACATATTATTCAGCGTTAATGTTGCCCTCACAGATGTGGTGATACCTGCATCCTTGTGGATGCCGGCTTTGAACTTTGTGCCGATAACAGAGCTGCTTCCAGCAGGTTTTTGATGGGGCAGCGCGACAGCGTTCACTTTGCCTCCGTCCATCGTTAATGAAAAGAAGGCAGCGGCGTTTCTTCAGATGGTTTATGGCTTGTTCCTGAGCACGAGCATTGATTTCCACTTCAGAATCGTGTGTGTCTGTAATGCTGCTTGAAGATCACAGCAAAGGTTTTCAGCTTCGTCTCTGTCAGCGATGAAGTTTTTTAACAATGTGATGAACAGTAGATAATAAAACCCCCAAAGTTTATGAAACGTTACCTTCATGTAGCTTCATTACACATGTTCTAATGAAGGACCTCACCTTACTCTGTGTTTCGTTTTATACCCAGTGTGACCCTCGAGAGACTGGTGTCTCCTCCTGGGATCAAACTGGGGAGCTTTCGCCTGTTAGGTGAACATATAAACCACACAATAGACACTCTTCTCTTTTTGCCAATCATGTTACGTAATTATCTAAAAAAAAAAAAAAGTAAATAGATTTTTTTAATCTTACTCCAGTCTTCTGTTGCTCCTGTCCCAGCTGTGTGAAACGTCATCAGATTGAAAAGGAACAGTTTTTCCTTAATAACATTTTTTATGTTCTCCTTGCACAATTTTTAATTAAATGTCGGGTTTAGATAATCACTATTCTATATTTTATCCTGGGAAACACGTTTGTCTAAATCTCAGCATCAACTGAATAATTAATCTGCTAATTTATTGAGATCTATTAGCTGTTCTGAGACGTTTAAAGGGAGTCAGCACCTTCTCTAAGGAAAGTGCAGACATTTATTTTCATTTAACTTTTTACATTTTTTTATTCTGATTCTGATTTTTCTACTTTTCTTCTGGCGTTAAAGTTCTTATAATACCGGGACCTTCGTCTTTATCAGTTATTTACTTCATAACTTATTTAACTGCACAAAAGTCCATCCAGGAAAGTAACGAAGGTAAGGCCAGAGGCAGCAGCGGTGAAAAGGCTGTAAATACCTGCGAGTCTGAACCATCCTGTTTGCAGACCAGGTGTGGTCCAGCTCCAGCTGTCCTCAGGACGGGCACATCCGCAACAGGAGCCGAGAAAAGGGAATTAAAACGGCTTCAGTCCCGCGGATCAACCCGCCCGTTTGCCAGTTAAACTCCGCTTTTCTCCTCTCACCGTCTCTGAGCTCTGACTCGCTCTCTCTGACTCTCAGCTGAGTCCCACCAACAAGCTCTCCGCTGTCACCACCCCTCCACTTCCGCTCTGCCGTGTCAAAATAAAACGACAAGAGGAAGTCGTTTCACATCTCCGCGGGAATTCGATTAAGCGATGACGTATGAACTGCGTACGTCATGAACTGCGTCCATTTACAAATGCGATCGCATTTGTCCGTAACCATCGGGAATCCTCACATTAACTTTTATCAAGTGGAAAAAAGTTAGCATTCATCCCCCAGCTTCACTGTGCTAATGTGTTTATATTATGCACACCATAGCTGTGTAGCTAGGACATCATTATATACCAGCTACTCCAAATTCAGTAACCCTACAAACTTCACTGCTTTTTAGTTTTCTGTCTTCATTTATGTCGGAAGTGACAGCAGAGCTGCACGTTTAAATTTTTCAGTGAGAACGTGATATATCCTCTTTAGATGGAAACTAGCGAGCTAACTCCCTGCTAACTTCAAACTCAGTTAAACTTCATAAATTCTGTTTTCATGGATGCCTGGATGTTAAACAGTTACCCCTGATAGAGCAGCCACACTGATCATTTTATTAAAGATGAAAAAATTTAGGCAGTTTTTAACTCTCAGTGATGCCGCAGTGTTCGTTTGGGACCTGAGGCGGAGTTTGGGCGGCTAATTACGTCAGACTTAAGACCGGATAAAAGTCCAACGTACGCTAGCAGCAGCGCCTTATGGCAGCACAGAAGTTTGAGATGTATTTTTAAAAGGTAAGAATTTAAAAACAAGTCTATATGTCATAAGCACTCATTCCAGCTGTATGCTAAGCACGGGAACTATTTGAAGGCTACATGACACACATGGTGACCCCGAATTCTGAACCCTGCTAACACCACACTCGCTTAAGGTGTCTGGAATAGGGGAAACATCTCCCAGTTACATTGGCATGTTCTGAATGAAACATACCTCCCACTCCCACTAGAGTCAGTCTGGCAGACAGGTATCCTGAAGCTTAACCCTACTTTTGATTGGAAGGGTGTTTGGATCCCTCTGGGAATCCTGATCAACAACAAATACGCTTAAATTTCATACACAGCATGAATATGACTCCATGTGGACTCAGATGTTTCGGGCACTGGTTTATCTCATGGTAAGAATGGTGACCAGTTTTGTCAGAAAGGTTTTAACACATTTAACGGCAGATAAAAATTCGGTCGCCACCAGGTGCAAACCTTGTTGCCTGGGGTGGTTGATCAGTTTTACTGATGTTACTAATCTTAAGCTTTCAAATGAGTGTTTTAAAGTTTAGCAGAGATGATGGAGGATCTTAAAATCTTACTGAAATGAGACCCGGGGATTTACTGAAACAACCAAACATAAAATAAAGCACAGTGTAAAGCTAAAACAGGGTTTGTACAATTCTACTGAGTTTGAAGCAAGTATGTGGCATTTTTTAATTTATTTATTTATTCCTTTATTCTTGAACTCTCATACGCAGCTTTCCTGTATTTTCTTTAAGTAGTTTTAAGAACTATTTCCCCGGGCTTCTTGAAGGACATCCAAAGCTCTTCTCTGGATGTTGTCTGCCTGTTGTTCTGGTGTCCAGATGACTCCACACTGCTTCAGTAGTGTTGATGTCTGAGCTCTGGTGAGGCCAATCCATGACTGATTGTCGATGTGTCTCGGATCACTCACATGCTGAAAAATGGAGCTATTGCTATTCAGATGCTTTCCAAATGGTATTGCACGGTGGATCAAACTCTGAATGTAATTTTCTGCTGACCTCCTCTGTACACACTGCCGACGATTTGAAATCTTTTGAGGACACTGCAAAGTTTTCAGCTAATAGCTGTTTGGAGTCACCTTGTTGTTACAAAAATATAATTTTATACGAGTCAGACCGCCAGTAAGTGCCTAAAGATACAAGTTAAAGTTGTTTGTTTGGTAAGTTGTCTGTTATCTTTAGACAAAATAAATGATATAAATAAAAAGAAATAAAAACATTTGTTCAAGTTACATTTATTTTATTCTCATACGAGCTCCATTTTTTCTCCTGCTGTTCCTGACTCTGTCCAGCTGCTCTTATTTTGAAAGTGGCAACATCCTGATAAAGTGCAGCAGATTGAAGGTTTCTTTTCTGCCACATGAAGGTTTTCTGATTCTAATGTGGGTCTATTTTCATTAAAGACGGGAAGCTGGAGGACTGTATTTTGAGATTGTGAGATCTGCCAAAACTCAAAGATCGATTTCTGCCCCAGAAACACAGAAACATCAGAAATTAACAGATGTGTCAATAAAAACTTAATCAACATAAAATATAAAATCTATTACTGACATTTGGACAGTTTATTTTTTATTAATCTTTTCTATATTCAGGTTTATTTATGAAAAACGCTCATGAGAAAAAAAAATCTTTCATTAAAAATAAAAGTAATATGAAAATTTATGTCATTTTCATTGATACTTTATATTATAAATGTTGAAAAATTATGGTGAAAAAATATAATTACATAAAACTTAACTTTAATTACATAAGAAATAAAAAATTACATAAAAAATTAAATAACTACAAGTGTGAAGATCCTAAAAAAAAGCTGTGATGATGACAAATAAAAAAGATTTATTTTATTTAAAAAAAATAAAAAATAAAAATTGAACTTCTTTGTCAAATTGTTACTTTATTTTTACATTTTTCTACAATTTCTTCATGTGATGAAATCCTATTTTGTGTATTGATTGCTGGACATGTGTGAAACTTTTTTATTGAATTAAAAGACAAAGAGCTGATGCTCATCAGAAAACTGTTTCTTTGCTTCCAGCTGTTTTGATAACGCTGTGCCCACCCCCACCAACATTAGCAGAACAAAAGGCACACACAAACACATAAATCACTGGCATTCACACACTCAGACAGACAAACACTGAGACTCCTCCTGTAACTGTCTGTTCTCACATTCTCCAGCTCAGCAGGACAGAAGCAGGGAATTCTGGGAAATAAAAACCTCCTGATGTGTACTTACAGACTTTCTGCAGGTCGGCTTTTCTCTCATACACAGATTTTCCCATTTTTCCCACCAAGCGCCTGTCTGGAGCCGGTGCCTCAGCACACTCTCATTATTCATACATAAACAGCCCAGAAGCCACACAAACTGGCTCTACTGTGCTTACTGGTTACACTGGTTAAAGTATTTATGAGCACAGCCACAAACAAGGGTCGCTGACTGAAGTACTGCCCAGTATTTAAACTGTAAAACATGACATCAAGAGCAGCCATCAAAGCTGAGAGGTGATGCTGTACTTTCAATCTGTCTGTCAGACTGAGAAGATCTGAAGCCATGAATCAGCAAGTCTGTGCAGCAACTCACACCCAGCCAAGAAATCAAGCTAGTAAATGATGTAAAAGATATTTACTTCACATTAAAAGCAAGCAGACTCTATCAGATAATTCAAATAACTTAAGGTAAAGCTGCAAGTGCCAAAAACTGCAGTTCCTGTAACGGCCACTGGAGGCTGAACTCAAAAGTGAGTCAGTCCCGTAGTTTAGATCCTACTGCAAAAAATATTTTGCCGTCTATGGATAATTTTTGCCTTCATAACATCCATACAAGGCATGATTTCTTTTTACATTAATCTTCCTGGATCACAGAAAATATAAAAGACACACATTGCTACTGTGTGTTTGTTCTGCAGTCCTGCTTTGAAGCCACCTGTTAGTTGATACTTTACAATCTGGTCGATTGATAAGATTTTAGCATAAAACCTCTATATCATCAGGAGCAATCAGACTTTGAAGAGATATTTCCATGAATGGGGCAAATACAGAAGAAGGAAAATGTACTGAATCGAATGACCTGACAGCTTTTAAGCATCAGGGACAACAACCCACCACACAGATGGAGGATATCGCTGCTTCCTGCATTCATACACCAGCGTCTTGTCTCACATGTGGGTGTGCTATTCCTTGTTTGGCAAAGGCATCAGCGGCACAAGTGAAGAAAAGCAGCTCCTTTTATTTTTACCGCCCTCAAACTGCAGATCTGCACTCCCCCTGGAGTTCAAGGAGATTAATTAAATGATTTTAATGATATTTGTATCTGTTTTTTATGACCTCTCTGGTTATTGTGTTCTTCTGCTGTTTTTCTGTTCATTGTTCCCGAAGGTTTTAATCTCACTCAAGCTGCCTGATTAAAAAAACATGAAACATGTCAAAGGCTTTATCAAATGATCAAACGTGATTCTACAGCAGGCTGAAATCTAAAAGTGAAGGACGGTGGTGCAGAGTTAACACTGATTGGAAAAACATGCTTCAGCTGTTTCAGGCCAGCAGTTGATGCTTGAACGTTCACTAACAAGTTTAACAGCTGCTAAAAAACAGCAAAATCTTAAGAAACAGATTAACAGCCATCTTTGTGAAATGACTTTTGTTAGGTTTTAATAAACAATTAGTTCCCCAGTAACTGCACATGTGCCATGATTACTTATTACTTATTACTCACAGCAAGTTTGATGTTTACAGGGTGATTCACAGAGATCGGTCCACACACGCACACAGGGCTCTGCAACATCATAAATCTGCTCTAGCACTGGTCTGTTACATAACATATTGACATGTCTGTCCAAATGCAGCAATTAGCATGACTTAAACCTGTTAAAATGACGTCTGAATCTGTGTCAGCTCTCCTCGTGTGTTGCCCACAGGTGGCTGTGAGGGATTCTTCCCTTTGACTTGAGTAAATATCCGCCGCCTCACACAGCATGCAGGAGAAAAAGAAAACCAGAGCTACATTTACACACGTGGAGCTGTATTAATAACACGCTAACTCGTTCAGAGTCCTGCAGTAAAAAGTCTCGGGTCAGCTGTTAAACACAGATTTCAGGTTTTTATGGCAGACTTGCTTTTAATCAGGAAACCTTTATGAAAAACCCACAGTGCCTTTTAATATCAGAATGGTTAGCACTTCTAACAGAACAAACTGGTTCTCCTTCAGCTACCTCCCATTGATTGAAGCTTTCAGAGAGAAAACATGTTTATATTATGTTATTTTAGTTTCTTGCTCCTTCATCAGGCCTTTTTGTTTTTTAACTAACAAATCTGAGCTGCTTGTGGTAGATTATTGGTGATTATTGAAATGAACTGGCTGGATTTGTGCTTGTAAATCGGCACCTTATTAATAGATTATTTGGACTTTTCATTTGCTTATTTAGGATTCATTCGTTCATACAGGAGTGCGTCTGCTCCTCTCTGTCAGCCCAACAAGACGAAGCTGTAGATCTCACCTTTGGAG